CGGTAATTTAGGTTTTTTAAATTAATGTGAGGAAAAAAAATCATTGGATCACTAATACTTTTGTATTACTCTGTAATATATTTTCGAATTTATACTGCGATAAAAATTATAAATTTGTAAAAATATATTAAACATAGATCATTTATATTTGACCTTTAAATAATATGTCAAATTTAAATGAAGATCCACATTATAGAATCGAAAAAAATTCTGTCCGAACCCGTGCATGGCACGGGTAGAAATACTAGTTTATGTTAAAAAATAAGTGAAATCTTTAATTTGGAACGAACCTAGTACTACTTATATCCTTATCATCACTCTTCGTTTATTATAAAGTACATCCACATTTGTTTACTGTTGAGTCACAAATATTTTATTTTATTTCTTTCTTTTTAGTAATTCTAGAGTATTTTATAGCATCTTATACTTAAATTTCTACATTTTTCTCATATTTATCATTTTAAGTTACTGTTTTCATTTTCATTCATAAAATGCATGATTTTAAGTATAATTATATTAATCAATTATAAAATTCATAATGCTTTATTATGTCAAGAGTTAGCTAGAGGATATAACAGAAGGGGTATTTCTCCTAGATGTTTGTTAAAATTGGATCTTCAAAAAGCATTTGACAATGTGAGCTGAAAGGCTATTGATCAACTCTTAAAACTGCTCAAGTTTCCATCTAAGTTTGTCAATTGAATCAAATATTGTGTGACCTCCACTACCTATTCCATACAATTTAAATGTGAAAATTATAGGTTTTCAAATGAGGGAAAACATACGTTAGGGTGACCTCACATCCCCTCTTATATGTCATCATAATGGAAATCCTTACCAGGTCACAATATTATGCGTCTAAGGAGAAATTTGGATATCACCCCCTTGCAAAATTTTGAAACTCATTAATATTATCTTTGCTGATGACCTAATTGTAGCTTCAAAGGCTCATGAAAACTTCATTCATTGTATTATGTATGCCCTTAAGCATTTCACCAATATTACTTGTCTCACAGTTAATCATTCAAAGTCAAAAATCATATTTAGAGGGATTAACAAACATGATGAGAATATTCTTCTTCGTCTAACCAACATGAGAAGGGACTCTCTTCCTTTCAGATATCTAAGAGGCCCAATTACTTCCTCCAAAGTCAGTGCCAAAGACTGTGAAAAACTCATCAAGAAGATGACTTCCAAACTTACTATCTGGTCTTCAAAAAATCTTTCATATGCTGGAAAGGTCAAATTGATTAATTATGTCCTTTATGACATTATTGGTTTCTAGAGCAGGCTCTTTCGTATCCCTACTATGGTAATAAATAGGATTAAGTCCTTGTGTAAGAATATCCTATGGGGGTCTTCTCAAAATCATAAGAGGATTTTCTTGATTGCCTGGGATGATATATGTTTGCCTAAGAAATATGGGGGGCTAGGCTTTAAAAATCTGAGTCTATGGAATAAGGCCAATATTATGAAGTTGGTATGGGACATTGCTTTGGAAAAGGAGATACTCCTTTTGTCCCAGAGTATTTGTCCACTTTCATTTTTACACACCATCCAATGCATTTCTTTAATCCATTTTATCTTGTAATTTGTATATTAAAAAATTATAGAAATTATATATTAATAATCTATATGTTAAGACAAATCAAACAAGATCACACATGACTATATTTAGGCTTACACATTCAGAAAATTTGATGAGTCAAAGTGCTTAGATAAACAGTTCCTAAAGTCAAACGTGGACGAATATAGTGGGACGTAGGTAGTATTATGGATCAAATGGAGAACATTAATATTTGAGTTTGAACTTATTATATTTTTGGGCAAGACCCCAAAATTGTATTTTGGATTAAATACTTAAGCTTCTGCACCATTTTATATTACTCTGATTGATAATCAAATAATATTTTAAATTTAAATGTTTTTGAAATATATTGAAAATATGACATGTTTGGATGCCAACTTAATGTCAACCTGATTCGCTACTTCATGTATTTGGGTTATGCTAATTGGGGTGTTGTAGTGGATGCAGGGAAGTTAGAAGGTGTGAATAGGGGGTGACAATGTGGGTGGTTGAGGGTGGTAGGTATAGGGGATGAGAGAGGGTGGGGTGGACATACGGGAGGAAAAGGGTAAGGGGTGGGCAGAGGTGGGGGGAGGGGTGCAGATTGAGTGAAAGAAAATGAAAATTTTTTTTCAAATTTTAACGGAAATTATATTTTCTCCTATTGAAGAAAAATATTTTTTCTGGAAATTATTTTATTTTAATGCTTCGAAATGCAGGAAAAATGGAGTCAAAATTTTCGTGAATATTTTTCTCCAACCAAACACAATATATGTAAAAATCAAATAGAGAATAAAGAACAAACAAAACTGAGTAAATTCTCAAAATAGTATTCAATAACTATGTATATTTTCAAATTTGTCCCTAAAATTAACAAATTCTTGAGATGGTACTCGTTAATTGAGAATAATGCTCAATTCACTTCCCCCGACTAACGACCGTTAAAACGGCGTTAAAACGACGTTGAACTTTATACTTCTTCCCCAATGATGCTCTCTAATTGGGTATTTTCTTAAATTGGTCCATTTTCATAATAAAAATATATTAATTATGAAAAATATTTTAAATTTTTTAGGATGACAATATAATACTAAAAACTATAAATATAATTTATAAATTTGAAAGTAGACGTTTTAGATTATTTACAAATGTTTAGAAGAATTTCATGTAAATAAATTAATGTTTAATAAATGTTAAGGAAATAACCATAAATAGGAGTAAAACATAAAGAAAGAGCTCATATTTTGGTAATTTTTTTATGTTTTACTCTTATTTAAAGTAATTTATTTAACGTTTATTACATATTTTATTTACATGATATTTTCTAAATAAGTATAAATAATCTAAAACGTTTACTTTCAAATTTATAAAATTATAATTGTAGTTTTTAGTATTATGTTCTCATCCTAAAAAATTAAAAATATTTTTTCATAATTAATAATGAAAATGGACCAATTTGAGAAAACGCCAAGTTAGAGAGTACCATTTTGGAAAAGTAATATAAAGTTTAATGTCTTTTTAATGCCGTTTTAACGGTCGTTGGTCGGGGGACTGAACTGAGCATTATTCTCAATTAATGAGTACGATCTCGGAAATTAGTTAATTTTGGAAACTGATTTAGGAAAACACATAGTAATTGAGTACCAATTTGAGAATTTATTCAACAAAAATCTTTCAACTTCTCCGTCCATCCTAAGAGCATGAACAATGGGGAGACAAAAATGGAATGTCACACGCTGACGTGGAGCTTTTCAACCAATAAAAAACAGTCCAGTCAACGAGTGACACGTGAGTGGAGTGCCATGCCTTGCAGTGGCAAGTTATTTTTTTCATCACTTTTTTTCATATTTTTGCCATATTTGAATTATTAAAAATTATTTTACTTATATATTTTTATCATGAAAATATTTCTATTTACTCAAATAAATAATTTCTTATATATATTTTAATTATTAAAAATGTTTTTGTTATCTACTCCATATTTTTATTTATTCCTTAATCTCAATTTAGATTATTATTTTAGAATTACGATGCAAAAACTCTTTGTTTTTAAAAATCATTTTATTTAAAAATTGGTATAAGAATTAAAAATAAAATTTATAAATTTGAAAATTACATCAAAAGTTCTACAAAAAAAGATGTGACAAATTTTTTTTAATTAAATAATCAATGAAAACATTCAAATAAACAAATGATATCGAGAGGTGAGGGAAAAAGTTATAATATATTGCGAGATGGAGAAAGTAAAAAATAGTTCTATTACTTTTAATAAAAATATCTTTTTCTCAAATAAAAATTGAAAAGTTAAAAAAAAGGGTATATGTGCCTCGGCAACCTCGCTCAAGCCTTGCATACCGTTGAGGAATGGTGCTTCCACGCGAGGAAGGAGAATTTTTTGTCCTAGGTGGCATGGCATAGCAAGGGCTTGGAATGCCGCTGCCCATGCTCTAAATGTTTTTCCCAGTTACTATTCACATGGTCAAACTTTAATCACTTTCTTTACCAATTTTTGTTAGTTATTTGATAAAATAATATAGTTTTGTCACATTTTATTTTGTAGAACTTTTGATGTACTTTTTAAATATATAAATTTTATTTTTTAACTTTACACCTACAATAAAATTAGGGGTGTAAACGGATATTAATCGGATCGGATGTGTCATTACCAAATCTGTATCCGTTTAATTTTGTCGGATATCGAATTCGGATTCGGATCTTGACGGGTACTGAAAATCAAAACCATGTCCGCATCCATCACATATCGCTCGGATATCAGATATATCCGTATCCATTTCCAATTTTTAAAATCAAATTAAAACTATACTTTAATTTTAAATTAGATTAAAGTCAAACTATTATTAAATCAACTATAATTTGTTATGGGATAATTATTTTGTTTGTTTTCATGATTTATGATATTCTACGATACTTCATATCATAAAAAGATATACACAACACACATATATACATATTTTTATATGTTTGCACATATTTTTATGTGTCTACACATTTAATTTGTATATAAACATGTTTTATACTTTGAAATATCAATAGAGAAACAAAATATATACATAAAAAATTAGGAAAAACTATATATAACATGTCGGATATTCGGATAAACAGTTATTTAAACGGATGCATATTCGGATCAAATTTTAAATGGATTGGATATACAATTACCGAATCCGTATCCATTTAGTAATCGGATACGGATAATATTTATTTAAAACAGATGCGGATATTTCTACTTTAAACGGATACGGATGCGGACAGTAATCAGATTTTCGAATATCCGTTGACAACCCTAAATAAAATAAATTTAATTGAAAAATTGAATAATTGATCAAACCTCGTAAATATAAACGTGAAGAACGTTTTAGGACAAAGTAGTAATTTTTATACAGTATACTGTAGAGGTAGATATATACGGATTATATACAGAGAGCAATAAATACTGTAAATAAAATCTGTATGGAAGACAACACTCGTCTTAGGTGGGATTTTCATTTCACGGGCCTCTCTCTCTCTCTCATCATCGTCTTCTCTGGGTCACTGGTTCTCGATTGGCTTCCTCAATTTTCTTTGATAACTCATCAAGATTTATCGCAGTTATTAGCCATGGATTCTGATTCTTGGGCCGCTCGTCTATCTTCTACTTCCAGGCGCTATCAATCCGCTTCCCAGTCTCGATCTGGTATGATTTTCCCTGTTTTTCTTTAATTTCCGGCGCGGTTTCTGATTCTCTGAATTTGGATGTCTTCTTTTTTCTTGTTTTCCTTTCTGGGATTCCGTTGATGAACGCAAGTTTCTCACTTTTCGCTTTGTTTTGGATGAAATGCTTTCTGGGATTAGTTTTTCTTTTTCTTTTTTCAATTTTGATGAGATTTGTTTTATATGAAATTTCTTGGTAGGGATGAGATGGGAGGGTATCGATTCGGAAATGTTGATAGGATTCGAGGAAACAGACATGGTCGAGGATGATGTCAGAGAGGAGTTTCCATGCCCCTTTTGTTCTGAGTACTATGATGTCGTTGGATTGTGCTGCCATGTTGATGACGAGCACCCTGTTGAAGCCCAGAATGGGGTATTCATTTTTTTTCTTCTTCAATTGGATCTTTGTTCTTATTTTTGCTTGTTTGTTATTTGAGCTTCAAAAAAGGTAAGGAGTATCAAGTTGAGTACTTTAGGTGATTGTTTTAGCATTGATTTATGCGCTGATCTACTGGTGCTGGAAATGTCTGTTTTGGTTATTGTTTATGGAATAATGAATTAACCATTTTTGTATCAAATACATACTGATTCGGGTACTATTTGCTCAAAATGGTATTGGTATATGCAAAGATTGCACCTTTTTTCTGGTTTGTGTGCTAGAGACAATTTACAATGCCTTTCAGGCTATGAATTTTACTCTACTGACCCAATTTACCAAGTTCTTGGGGTTTTATGTTAACTAGATAGTGATAACTCTTCATGAATCCAAAAATGTTGTGCACTCTGCTTGATTTGCCTTTGTATGTTTGCGTGGAATGTGGATTTCCATTTTATTTCAAGATTTCTTTTCTGTATTCTATTGCATTCAGATATTGAGAGATGAAAGGTTTGTTGTGAAGCTTTGTGCTGAAAAGGCACTCTTTTTTTCAGGTGTGTCCGGTTTGCGCAACAAGGGTGGGGGTTGACATGATCGCACACGTCGTATTGCAGCACGGGAATGTCTTCAAGATATCCTTTTTCCAGCCTGCAATAAGAAATTATTCTCTTTATGCCATATACTCCCTTCGTCTCGAAATGAACTTTGGTGTTTGACTTTATGAAATAAAAAAAGTGTTTAGAAAAATAAATAGTGAGCGGTTGGAATTCATTTAGAGAAAAAAGATTGTGTGTCGTGAACCACATATTTCATTCTTTAATAGGACAAAAGAGAAATGGGAAGTTTTTTGGGACAACCAAAAAGAAGAAACTGTCAAGTTTATTTTGGGACGGTAGACACACACATACACATGCATACATATATTACATGGTCTATTTTGGCTCATTCGTAAATGAGGGAGTGGTATTTAAGAAAATGCTAAATTTTCAATAATGACTAGATTTTGTGGTTGAAAAAGGCATTGGCTTGGTGTTCTAGTATACGCTCCCCCCCCCGCCTGGATTCTAGCTGTCCATTTTCTTATTTTTGTTTGTCCGGAGTTAGTTTTTCACTTTTAGTATTCAATATAAAAAAATATGTTGAATTGTCTAAAATATTCTTGAGATAAGAGTATGAGCATTGTTGACTTGAATTAATGAAAAACTCATTTTAATGATTTATTTTTCTCTCTAATCTCATTTCCTTGATTTATTTCTCTCTTTAATCTCATTTCTTGAAAATGAGATTTTTTAGAAAGTGGGCCACTTAATCCAGGCAGAGGGAGTAGTTTTTTAGAATCCTCCCTCTATTGTATGCCAACATGTATAATTTGAACCTAAGTTTCTTGTCTTTCCTGATCTTTATATAACATACGGCTATGCGCTCTATGTCCCATGAGTTTTTTGTTTTATACACTTTCCTTTTTAGTCCTTCCCAAATTTATGTTCACTCTCCGTACTAGAACCTTTTACATTTCAATTATCCTTTTTATTAATTTATTTCTATTTAGAGGGTGAAATTTGTCATTTACGTAGTCGAACAATATCTCAAACGAGTAAATGATAGTTCTTTAATTTTTGTTGTGAGCTCCTTGACCAGAGTTCTACGTGCAGCACAAGAGGAGATCACGTAAAAGCAGTTCACATTCAACGCTTTCATTGTTGAGGAAGAAATTGCGAGAAGGAAATTTCCAGTCTCTCATAGGAGGAGGGTCATCTTCCTTTATAGCAGCTCCTTCAAGTAGTGCTGCGCCAGACCCATTGGCTTCATTTATTTTGCCAATGTCGGATGATTTTGGGAATGCCCAGTTACACTCTTCTCATGAAGCCAACTCTGCTGCGAAAAGCACATCAGAAAATGTTCCCAAAAGGTATTCTTTCAGCTTGTTATCAGTCTCTTAACTCATGTTTGTAACGTGAAATGGATGAAATTTAGTTTTTTATTGACGAAAATATTTTCAAGATTCTTTGCATCTCTTGAAAAGAAACTCATGATCTAAAGCTTGTTTTTTTATGTTTCTGAACTTACTTTTTGCTATAAAAGATGAGTCCATTTTGAGCTAAAGAAGCTAATTTTTGTCGTATTTAATGTTTCCTTTTTTAGTATAAAGTCTCCCAAACACCAAAAAAGTTGAGTGTGTGAAATTTAGTTTTATTTGATTTCCAATAGTTGTGCCTTAGTAAAATTTAAAAGTTGTACGTTTGTGAAACATTACTCTTTGTACAAGACAGTATTAATTTGCCAACTTCAGCAGTCAAAAACTTATTAAAAAAACTTTTTTTGCTAGATTTGCATGTCGGGTATTCCTTGAATCAGTTATTTTCTTAACCCCTTATTTCCATTCAATCCTAAACAGAAGCAAAGCATCCTCTTAAATGAGTTTGATAACCTTTTTTAAAAGGTTTGATGGTTTTGGAACTTTTTGTTCTTGTTGTACTTTTTCCAAAATTCTGAAATCCCAAACTGTTTTGTATTATTGAGACACATGTTATTTACAATAAAAACACATAAATTTTCATAAACGTGTCCTCTTGGTCTAGTTTTCATCCAAGTGAAAACGGAAACATAAACCAGAAGCATAACCCAAAGGACACCTGGAATTTGTTCTCTTTGGTCTGATTTGAATTTTTTTTTCCCCGAGTTTTTATGATCTGATTCCAATAAGAATAAGTTGAAGAGAACACGCCCTTACACACATTTGTTTTGCAGAAAACAACCTCCATTATCAGTGGAGGACAAAGAGGAGAGGACAAAGCGTAGCGAGTTTGTTCAAGGGCTGGTGTTGTCCACCATTCTTGAGAACTCATGAAGGTACATACCCCCCCACCCCCACACTTGAAGGACTATTTATCCCCCCCCCAGCCAAACGAACCCTGCAGGACTTTGATGAAAACCCAACCACGGAATAAGATCTCTTATGTGTTGTAGGGGATGTTTATTAGTCCTTAGGTTGCCAACTTGTGTATGTGTATTTGTATTTGTATTTGTATTTGTTTCCAATATAAGTTAATGCATTGACGATATCGCCCCCCTCCTTAGACCCCCCCCCCCCCAACTTGAGAGACGTTTGTCATTCGGTTGTTATTGTTGTTGCATTGACAATATAATGAATAGACATTTTAACACCTTCTGCTTTGAGCTGTGTTTTCGGGTTGCTCCATGGACGGTTTGGATGTCCTTAAAGGTAATTTTACAGACGGTTCATGGAGCAACTCCGTGGTGATCCAAGCCAATCGAAACATCACGTTATGGGTGTTAGCGTTTTTGGTAATTTATTAATGATTTGGATTAATTTTAGAAACATTAGAACATTAAAAGTAAACGTTGAAACACTTGAGAAATGGGCACAAACACAATTATTGCATGCACTATTATTGCTCTAGCAATTGCCATCAGATTATGACTTTGTTCTATTATTGGTCTTGTACCAAGTCATCACGTGCTTTTGGCGCGCTTTTCTAATAAAAAACGTGTTCACTTTTTAGCTTAGATGGCATCTAAGCACTCTTTTTCGTCCCAATTTAAGCTGCTTATTTTAATTTACGATGATTAAATTTATTTTTAAATTATTTTATATGAAAAATGGTGTGTAATTTAAAAAATTGCATATTTAAAAACTGCATCAAAAAATCTACATAATTAGTAATGACAAGATTATTATTTTATCAAATTTAATGGTGTAAATTTAATCGGGTAAGTTTGACTGTGTATGATCAAGTCAAACAGACACTACCAAGTAAGCCGAACACACCAGAAAGTAAAAACACAAGAGATGACTTAGACTAGGAAGGAATTTTTGCGCCCGAAATTGTGGTTTTTACTCTTTCTCAAGTGTACAAAGATGTGTGTTTCAAAAAAAAAAGTGTACAAAGATGTGTATGAAAAAATGAATGACTCCCCTTTACCTCTTACAATCTATTTATATTGGGTGGAGGAAGTCAATTAAGGTAACAAGCTCTTCTTCGGGCGTAGACTTAGCTTCAATCAGTACCTACTTCAGGAAATAAACCCTTGACCCGCTGCTCGTGGCCTAATCGTTAATGAGTGCCAATCTTGCCCTTGTTTACGTTGTCCAGCGGTTTAGCACGATTCTCGCTCCGTCATTAAGTCCCGAAGATGCGGGGGAGTACAGCGGGATAGCTCCATGCGTGCCCTCGCCTAGCATTGTGTTTGTCAGTTAAACTCGTAGAATCTAACCGTGCAAAGCTGATGAGCTAAACCCTCGAGCAGACTCCAGTAATGGCCCTATAAGAAAATGACCATGCCGAAAACATGACCGATCACTTTTTAGGAAAGAGGTGATCGGTCATTTCAAAAATGTTTTACGCCACTTAATTTGTTGGCCGGTCACATTTGACCTGTCACTTTGCGCCTGGGCGGGCCGAATATTGGTTATACCCATCAAAATTCATAACGAAAATAGAAAAAAAAGGGAATGTAGTTTGACCTGTGAATAGGGGTGAGTTTGGTTTTGGTGGTTCGATTTTTACCCAAAACCAAAGATAAAATGGAAGATGAGTTGACGATTCAATTCGATTCGGTTTTGCATAAGAAATATGTAAATTGTTAGTTATTCGGTTTGGTTTTAAGCAATTTTATTTCAATTTTTTTTCAACTTTTTACGTTTATAAAAGTAAAAATTTATAAGCATTAAAAAATTATAAGAATACTAACTCGATGAAGCAATATGCAGGGTTGAGTTTGAGTTTTTAGTTTGATTTTTACACAAAATAAAAAATCGAACTGAAAGTTAGTGTTCTAATCGATTCAATATTACACAAAAAATATGTGCTGAGTGCGCAACAAACATCTAGAAGATTCTAAATACTTCCAAAGATATCGTATGTAAATACTCCGTATCAATTACAGAGAATTTGCGTTTTTGGTATAAAAATTTTATTTCCATTATACATCAACGTTTTTTTACGTAAATATGTAAATTGTTCATATCAATTTTTAATGTTAATATATATTTCTGTATTAGGATTAGTTATTAGTGTTTATATTCTTAGGTTTTTAAAATCATAATATGGTTTAAAATGTTTAATTAATAGTTAAAAAAAATTACATAACTTATAATTCACTAGTCAATTATTTACATTTATATTTCTATGATCTTTTTTACTAATAATATATACTCATATAAATAAAGTGAAGTACATAAGAAAGTTTGATTTATTTGGTTCAATTTTTTCAAAGTAAAAACTAAAACAGAAACCAAACAATAACGGTTTAGTTCGATTTTTTTACATTCAGTTTTGTATTTCCGGTTCGATTTTTTTCTAGCTTGTTTCGATCGGTTTCGATTCGATTTGTGGTTTTCAGTTTTCCCATCCCAGTCCTGCCTTTGAATAGTAAACAAACAATTTAAATTGTGATTAAGGAGTACTACGTATTTCGTATTTAAATTAGTCAGGGGCACCCATAGGGGTGTTCATTACGTACATTCGCATGGGGTTGGTCTTATTTTATGATTATTCTTCTGTTATTCCTCAAAAAAGTTCACGTTTTTATTATAAAAAAATTCAAAAAATATCTTAAAAGTGTTGAATGATATAAAATGTACATGGCCATTGTGGTGATTTTTTTAAATGCTAAAAATTATAAGATACAAATTCTTTTCTACTTAAAAAATACAGAGTATGTAAACTTTGAAGCAAGATAAATGAAGCAAAACGTTTTCAATTAAACAAGGAATTAGGGCCTAAATATACTTGGCAGTTAGCTCGAGTCCACGCATGTTATACATCTTCGTTAATTGTGGTTTTCATTCAAATTTAATAATATTTTAATTTTATAAAGTTTTATTATTTTATATACTAATTATATTATGTACTTCGTATTTAATAAATATTTGATCATGAAAAAATATTGTATAATTTTATATTAGAGCAATAAACCTAAAGAGTTTAAAAATACATAGGCCTTGAACTTTTATCAACAATAATTGGGCGGGCCTTATATTTAGAATAATTTCTATGATTAGTCCTTACTTTGATAGATGATTGGGCGGGCCTTATATTTAGAGAAAATGCTACTCCGTATGAGTTTAGTGTGTGTGTTTTTTTATTTTTATTATTTAGAACATTTCTACCCTTTTAATTTTATTTTTATATTCCATATTTAACTCAAACATTCTTTTCATTAGTTTTCTGAACTTTTCGAAACAAATAGTCAAATACTCCATTCATTTCATAAGTTTTAGGGTCACAATAGATAAACTTTGGCTGAGATTTGTATAAAATTTTATTAATGTGTTATAAATTTTTCTCGATTTGACTTGGGTCGAATGAGAGATAGGAACAACAAGGGAAAAAGGGAGAAGTTTGTGAGAATTTTTTTTAATTTATTCATAATGAACGGAAATATCAATTTCGGATTTTTAATAAACTTATGTGGTTGATATATATATATATATATATATATATATATATATATATATATATATATATATATATATACACTTCACATATTAAATTTGAATGAAAATTTACACTAGAACACACCACCTAAGCCCCACTCTAAACCCTCTATGGCTATTATTCAAAATGAACAATGCTAAGGCAACCCCAATTTTCATCTTACTTTCCTCACAACGGAGAGAGATAAACTTTTGACTCCAAAGTCAAATAAATTTGGGGAATGCAATTGAAGGGGGTGGAGAGGTTTACCGAACTTAGGAACCGTCAATTTTACAAACTGAGATACCGTAGCGATTCTGAGCCATGACATTAGGTTCCAACAATGTCATGGGAACCGCCCTGTCCTCACAAACACACCCACATATACTAATTTTGATCAATGCTTTGTGAAGAAAAAAGGTGGAACCCATCCCCCACACCCATACCCTAGAGTTGGTGAAGGAAGTAAATGACAGGATATGCCTCAAATAGTTCCAAAAGTTAACTTTAAATGGGTCTACAAGTATAGAGTACTCAATACTTTCCCCGAGTCCCACTTGATGAGGATGACAAAGACAACACGAAGATAGATCAAGGAAAATGCCACTCCATAAAAACCAAATTTGCACCCATCAAAATTTTAAAGAGCAGGGACAAGTTTTGTCTACACAAAAACATGTAAAATAGGCAAAGTTTGGCTGTATAGTTCTAAATTTGGAATATAGTGTAAACATGGTATACATGTAGCATTTTCCCAGGGCTGACGATTCTAACGCAAGAGCGTTTTTGGCTGCAGATTAAAGACGAACAGATGGACAAATGTCTTTGGCAACAAAAGATGGAAATCCACAAGTACTTTCAAGGAAACCCATTTTACCCCAACCTTATGGACCCGATATTTGCCCTTAGAACCCATCTTTTGTGCACACGGGCACGAACTATCCAAGAGATATGGTAGAATGGTTGCTTTCTTGAGGGTTAAGAGAAGGAACCCACCACCGGAGTTCAAGCACAACAAAAAAAAATATTGAATAATCCTCTTAAATTGTGGATGTATTTCCTTGAATCAGGATGTATAGTGGTATAAGTTGGAACTATTTTCAAGATGATGGTACTTGTTGTACATGCAATGTCTTACAATTGAGCATTCAACTAACAAGTCCTTTGGCATTATGAAAAAAGAAGAAAGAATCATTGTTTTAAAATGTATGTTTATCAACAGAAAATTGTTTCCCTCACAATTGTCAATCTGTACCCCCCACCCTTTCATAGAGTTTAAAGTTTTTTTTTTTTTTAAATACCTGGTAGACAATGATTGTGTTAGCCTGCTTTCATGTAATTTCAAGAATTCCCACTCTAAGAGCTCTGAACTGCTAGTAGTATTCCCATTCTGCTACCGTCTCCATCTAATGTTAATGAGTCGGTTTATTCCATGATGTATTCTTCTCCTGTCTGAAACTGTGAAAGCCGCAAATCTGGAAGCTGAAGAAGAAGAAGCCTGAGCATCTCTAGGGGATGATGAACTGTTGCATGTGCGTTGGGTTAGTGGTGTTTCGGGTACATACATCTCGTCCGACTCCAAACTCTCCCTCCTGCTGCTGGCGGCTATAGAAGGCAATCTGATGTTAAAGTGGTTGACAGTCGGATTTGAACTTTCTGGATTTGTGTAACGGGGAGATGTTAGCCTACAGCTTTCACAGTACCAGTCACCTTCGGGCACTTCATATCCAAGGCCAACGCAGTACGTGTGTGCAGGAGAATCACAGATATCACAAAGGAGCATATGAGCATCATCCCCACCTTGTTGACATTCAGTACATAAAATATTTTCATATAGATCAAGATAATCCCTGAGCTCTTCCTCAGATGGTACATAAACCTACATATATATAATAAATAAACTTAATAATAAACAGCAAAGCGATAGTGGATTTGAATATGGACGTGAATTTATTTTGTAAAAATAAAAAAATTTACTTGATCACGCTCAGGTACTTGAATCACCGCAGTCCTTGAATTGAATCCAGCACTTGATTTTGTTGCAGCCTTTGTGATTGCTACAAATCTTTGCTTGCAGAGGGGACACCGAGACTCAACTTTTGACCACTCCATGATGCACACAAAACAGAAGAAGTGACTGCAGCAATTCAATGTTCCACGGATTGTCTTCTTTCCTTCTTCAGACAAACAAATTCCACAAACCTGCTTCACTTCTTCACTCCTCTTGATCTCCTCTATCACTACCTTCTCCTTCCCCTTTCTTAGTGATCGCTTCTTCTGAGGTTGTCTGTTTTTTCCTCGTGGTGGATTCTTTGAAGTTGGATTCCTTGTTTTATACATTAGGTCTCTACAAATTTTATTCGCTGTACTATCTTGATCTCTCTCTTCTTCAGAGATGGTGAATTCAGGGTCAGATGATTCACAGCTCACAAAGTCTGAATCAGAATCCACTATTAATCTCCGTTTGCTTCTCTCCTGTGCATACTTCTTCTGTACCTTTTGTGCAATATTTTTCCTTGGTCTCTTTCTAGTGCTCTTCTTTGATGTTTTAGAGGTTTTCTTCCTTGCTTTATTTGGAACTTTTAATATTCTCCTCCTCTGCACTCTATTGTTGTTTCCCTTTGGCAATTGTGGTTTGCCCAAAATTTTCCTACCTCTAGTCGTGGGCAGCTCGTCTTCATCTTCATCATCTGCACAATCAATCTCATCTAGGGTAAAGTCCTTGTCATCGGCATAGTCATCGTCGTCGCTGTTGTCATCATCATCATCATCACCATCATCATCATCATCATCTCCACCTCTGTATACAACTCTTTTCCTTATTTCTGGTTTCACAACATTGTTGATCTCAAACGGAATAAAATCTTCATCATCACTACTGTCATCATCTGCTTTAGACGTGACTCTCTTCCTTTTTCTCCGGTTTACTACATTTTTCTGTCTCCCTGATGCTTTTGGTATGACATCATTCTTTCTGACAACTTTTTTCTGCTTCTTATTCTTCAGCCCTTCCAACTCATCATCATCTTCAAAATCACCCAAACTCTCTCCTGATGTATCACAAACTAAAGAAAAAGATTCATCCTCTGAACAATCAAACAGCTCATTTTCACTGACCTTGTAATCCTCATCTGATTGTTCATCATGATCTTTATAAAACGATCCTTTCCTCTTTGCCATCTTCATACACAGTCCAATAAAATCTAAAAGTCACTTCTTGATTGAGGTGAGGTCATAGCTTTATGATCAAGTCAAATGTGTAGAATCAATCATCCTGCAATATAATGGAAAACTAATGACTATCCAAATTTATAAGAATTATTACAATTCTACTCTAAGATCCCGTCATAGGAGGTACATATAAAATGCTATTACTCCCTTCCTCCGGTTTTAGTTGTCCTTTCCTAAAATACCTCATTTTTCAGATTATCATGTTTGACGGAAAGAAAGCCAACATGCATTTTTAGAGCGCGTTTTTTTATAATTCCCAATAACTTGCTTACAAAATACTATGAAAAGTGGACAACTAAATCCCAACAAAGGGGTCATCTATTTTTACCATGATACATGTGACCAACATGGTAGTTACATGGAGCCGAGGATCTGAATATCATCAGTGCTTAGAGTTTACACTTTTAAGATTTACCTAGTAGATCAAAATGACTTCCCTTACAAGAATTTCCAATGAAATGAAATCTGAAGATCAAAATGACTTCCCTTACAAGAATTTCCAATGATATGAAATCTAAATATCAAAATAACTTCCCTTACAAGAATTTCCAATGAAATGAAATCTAAAGATCAAAATAACTTCCTTTACAAGAATATTCAATGAAATGAAATCTAAAGATCAAAATAACTTCCCTTACAAGAATTTCGAATGAAATGAAACCACTTGCAAGAATTTCGATTTGCCAATGGGAAAAAACAATCGCGGAGAGAAATCCACATAAGATGTTCTTCGATCAAATCCAAATCGGACACTCAACCATGACTAAACCTATGAAAACTCAGTCAAAACCCTAGACAAGAACACAGTCAAACAACATCAAAGGCACTTCCCTCATCCAGTGCCGATAATCACAAGTCTGTACATATATATACTAACTGGAGTTTCTCCATGAACAAGAATTGTACACAATCTCAAGAACAGTAGCTTGCTTTCATTTCTTAATTCCGAACCCCCAAATTCACACCTAACTATTAAAGAAACGAACAATAATCCAGTCAGAAAAATGGGCACGCAACATTACCTTGGATAGAACGATAAACAATTGAGCGGAATCCGACAAGATGATTTACAACTCTGATTTAGAAAATTGGGCACACAAACTTTGAATGAATCTGTAAGTGCTCCCTGTGTCTGTTGGGATTCTGTAGAAGGCCCATTATGAATCATCGATATGGGCTTTGCGTGCGCATCAATGGCCGAATACTTACCTCATACTTCTCTCATCCCTTTTTTTAGTTTTTGTCTAGTTTTTTAAAACGATTCGAAACGATTCGTCATTCGAGTCACAAGCTTATCATTTTTTGTCTTTTAATACTCCATCCGTTCTAAAATTGATTTCCTAGTTTGACTTTTGCAGTCAAACTTTTTAAACTTTGATCGTATATTAAAGAAAAAATACATTGAATTTTCATATAAATTTATTAGGAATAGACTCATTTTGGAATATAGCTTTGAAATATATAATTTTTATAAAATATATTTATATAAAAATTGAGATATTGATGGTCAAATGTCACATTGGAGACTGTGAAAAGTCAAATGGGAAGTTAATTTTAGGACGGAGGGAATATTTGGGATCACAATAAAACAGAACGAGCTTAAGTTATTCTTCTTTGTCATTGTCTGAAATTAGTTATAAAAATATAAAATACATATGGAGGAGACAACCCACTTTATACTTATTTAGAATATATTTAAAAACCAAATATAATAAGGCAATATGAAAAAAATGCTACAACATCTCACAAAATTCAAAACTATGCTTTATAAAACTTTGAGCAACAAACTGGGGTTGGCACAAGTCGAAACGGTCTGAACTTTTAAGTGTTCCGGTCCTATCCTATTTTCTTAGAATATTTAAGTGTGTATATTTACTTTTATCTATCTCGGAAAATACAAAAATTGGGATACTTTTTTATGTTATATCATTATATAAATAAATAGATATACACGGAGTACATAAGTATGGGACAACGAGACGGAACGAGAAAATATTTATGTGACTCAATCGCGTCCCATATAAAAATGGTTCGGAATAAGTTCGGATAAAATTTTATCATCCCAAACAAAACGAAACATTGTTGGGACGAGACCGAAACTTTTCAGATCGAGACAATCGGAACAGGATTATTGACCACCCATATCAACCACAATGAATTAAAATCTACTCTCTCCGTCCCTGAAAACATTTCTCCTTTCTTTATTCATTTGTCCCAAAAAACATTTTTTATTCTTATTAAAAAGTTACTTTTACCCCTTACTTTTAATACCCTATATATCACATCATATCTTTTTATTAATAACCTACCAATCAAATCATACTTTTACTCATCACATCAAATGACTTTTTTTAAAAATTCAATACCAAAATACACTTCCCCTAAATCTCTTAAATCTTTTAATTTATTCTTCCTTGAGTAAACCTATTATTCAAACATGATATCAGAATCCCTACGCTCTTGCGACCTAATACATTGTACTTTGCTAGAGGAAGGCTTCCTTGGTAATGGTCTGGCCGAGATGGGTGAATGCTAGGGCCATCAACGAGGCAAATGAAGAAAACAGAGGAAGAGTTTCTTGCTTTGCCGGCAATAGATGGTACTTTGCTTGAGGAAGGATCCTAGCATGCAACAATCGAGGTGACTTCTCAATGAAAGCACCAATAATGAACGTGAGATATATCCGGAGTTGGAGAAAATATTCTAGAGAGAAAATTTTAAATTTATTTTTGGCTTGCACAAAACCATATTTTCATCCAAACAAATCGAAGAGAGTTATTTATAGATGCAACATATGCCGCACAAGCTCACAGACACAACGTAACATGTGATTTGAGCTCACTAACATGGTAAGCCGGCCACCAACCCAACTAAAACTAAAGAGTAAATAGGTCTAAGTGCTTGGTTTGCCTTGCTGACTTCGATGAGTTAGATCACCGTGACAGAATACCATACTTGACTAGTTTGACAGATAAATTTTGGGGGATAAATCATACTCGATTGAAGTTCAATCTGACAACTCTCAAAGTGGGCTTCCAATCTTGGGCTCAAATGTGTTCTTTTATGTGGGTTGGATGTCCCCTTCCAATGTATTCATTAAGTATATAGTTACATTCTCAAGCCCTTTTGGTTGTATATGTGACTAGGTATACAAAATATTCATCTTTTTTACTTCGATTTGCTTTTTCAATAGTTTGACCGCATTATGCAAGAGTATTTTGACTTAATTAAAAAAAGGATGCCACACCCCTGAGAGCCCCACAAGACTAGCTAATTCCAAATTAATTATTTTGATTTAATTATGATCGATTTTGGGGCAATCCAGAAGCTTGCTAGACATTTAAGAAATATTTCCACCACTCTGACTTCAATTTTTACATACGAAGTACTTTTGACCTGACACAATTATTTAAAAATGTATAGTTGAGTGGTTAAAATTACACTTGACAATCAAACATGTTTTTAACTTGAGATCTTACTTGAAATAATTGGATTTTGCACAAAGTTTTTATTGATTGAGCTCGAAGATAACCAAACGTGAAATGTTGTTTCAAAATCAAGTACTACTTTATTCGAGTCAATAGTACTAAAGAAATTATGAATATACTCCCTCCGTCCCAAAATATTTGCAACGTTTGCTTTTTCAGCAGTCGCGGGAACTTTTGTTTATTTCTACGTTTTCATTGGTTATTTGATAAAATAAAATAATTTTGACACCTCTTATTTCGAAGAACTTTTCATGTAGTTTATTTATATGTAAATTTTAATTTTTATTTCTATACCAATATGTAAATAAAATGAATTGAAAAAAAATTAATATTTTACCTCGGGAATACAAGTGTGGCAAATATTTAGGGACGGAGGGAGTATAAAAAATATGGTAAAATTTTAATATAGAGTGTGAGTCCTATTTTGATTTTTGAATGATTATTCTTTAAAAAATTCAAAGCAAACCCAGAAATCAGGCGAAAGGGAGCAATCTGCTTTTCCCAAATTCTGAATTGAGTACAAGTTCATCGTCTAAAGTGTCAAGAAAGGCTAACAATACCCAAAAAACGGGGCAGGTTCATTTTGGTACCCAGTGCTCCTACAACAACTGCAATGCTTTATAGCCAGCCCCCCTATAGAAGAATTTCTTGTCAACCCTCAGTCACTCCCCTTTGCAAGCACAAATTGGCTAAGGGGAAATGGGAATTGAGAAAGGCATGGCAGTGTTGCTGGACCTTATACAGAAATCCGGCGGTTGCGCCGTCGTAGACGGCGGCTTCGCCACCCAGCTCGAGCGCCACGGCGCCTCCATCAACGATCCTCTCTGGAGCGCTCTTTGCCTAATCAAAAACCCTGATCTCATCAAACGGGTATCCCTATATCAATTGTTTTTCTTACACTATTAATAATGTAAATCCCATTTCCGTGTTAAATCGAATTGATCTGTATTTTGTTCTGATTGGTTACTATATAAATTCGATTACGAGCAAAGAATAAAGAAAATTTCAAGAAACAAATCAAATCAAGGGGAAAAGAGCAATGCCATTAAAGAAAATATGAAAAAATAATCCATGTATGATATAAAATGTACTCAAATTTGATGTTTCCCATAAAGAAAATATGAAAAAAATGTGATTATTGGTAGCTGTATCTCAACTGTTTGAGTTAACTTTTGGGGTTGAATTGGGTCCAAGTTTGTTATTTCTCGAAGTAATGTTATGAGTAGAATTTAATGCTAACATAATACACTTGTAGCGGTTGAGGAACTAATGTGTTGTGGTCACTTGTCAGGTGCACTTGGAGTATTTAGAAGCTGGGGCAGATGTATTAGTGACTTCATCTTATCAGGTTCGAAGCATTTATCATCACCTTATGGAAATGTTTGTAGAGGTGGAGAATTTAACTTTGTTTAAACAGCTTTGAAGAATAAGCATTCGTCTCTGAGTTATGCAGGCCACTCTTCCTGGGTTCTTGGCGAGGGGGTTTTCGTTAGAGGAAGGCGAGTCGCTGCTAAAGGGTAGTGTGCATTTGGCTATACAAGCTCGAGACAAGTTTTGGGAAACTGCAAGACGAAACGGAAAGCGGGGATATAACAGGGCTCTAGTTGCAGCCTCCATTGGAAGCTATGGAGCTTACCTTGCTGATGGTTCAGAGTACAGGTGCTTCCTTGTCCCTACATGTGTGTGTGTGTCATGTTGCAGCAGATTGTGATCCCTAAAGTGTTGTGTCCTTCCCAGGGGTAACTATGGACCTGAGGTGAGCCTTGAGAAATTGAAGGATTTCCATAGGCGCAGACTGCAAGTGCTTGTGGAAGCAGGGCCAGATTTGTTGGCGTTTGAGACCATCCCAAATAAATTAGAAGCCCAGGTTGGTGTTATAGTATATATTCTTTTAAAGAAATCTACCTTGCTAGGAGTAAAACATAGAGAAAATACTAAAATAGGACTATGAACTTCTGAACTTGCTAGCCCATTTCCCCCACAACCGGTGACTGACTTCCATGAACTTCTGATCACCCTTCGCCATGGCTTCTGCCTCCGTGGGCGGCTTCTTCCCCCTCTTGTTGTTCTTCTCGTCAAGAGAAGAAACAATCTTCTTCTCTAGCTTGACTTTACTCACGTGCTTCTTGGTGATCCGCTAAAAAACACTATCCTCGACCTTGTCATCAGACGGCGACGTGGTCATCAGTGATGGAAATCCTTATGACTTGAAGCATATTAGAGGTCAATTATCCATTTTCTAGCTTCTTCACAGTGACACTCTTCACAGTGACACTCTTTTCTTCTTTAACTTTCTTTCCAATAGAATCACAAAATGAAGTCAGAAAGAATTTTGAGAGTGTTACGGATTTTTTAAAACAAAAATTTGTAGAGTTTAAGGAGGTGTATAATGTCTCTAATTGAAGAAGTAAACTAATACTTCGAGAATGTGAGATTATTAAGCATCGTACTTATGTTCATTCTAAATTCTTTTAATCTTCTTTTTTTTATTGAAATTTACTCATATCAAAAAATGTTGAAAAATAAAAAAACTTTAGAATTTTATGAGTGATTTTTTTAATCATATAATTCTTTTAATTTTTTAAAAAATGAAGATTATTATATTCAGATTTCCAAAAAAAGAAAGATGGAAGTTTATTTAGAATTAGATAGAGTTATTTTTTGTATTGTAAAAATTGTTAAATTTATTTTACTCTTAATTTTTAAAATTTATTTAGTCCACATGAAAATCTATTTCAATAAGTTTTTAAAATGAGTTAGTTGAATGTGTAATCCACATCAGATTTTACGTGGACGATATAACTTTTAAAAATTAAAATAACAAACTAAATTTAACAGTTTTTACCATTTAGAAAAAACATTATCCGTCTCTAAATAAGCTTTTGTCTTTCTTTTTTTGGATATCTAAAAATAATCTCACTTTTCTTTAAATTGAAGGAATTATATGGCTAAAAAAATTTCTCTTTGTAAGGTCCTGTTTGGTACATGGAATTCAAACTATGGAATTGGAATTGGGAACTTTAATTCCAATTCTGGTGTTTGATAGCACAAAAATTATGTGGATTTGGAATTGATAGTGCAAAAAATGAATTGGAATTGACAGAATTCAATTCTATGGAATTGAATCTCATGGAATTTCAATTCCAATTCCACCAATTTCTTAACCACCTCTTAAAACTCTATAAATTTTTGTTAAAAAATTGCAAAACTCTCAAACCTTTTTACTTCAGTTTGAGATTTCATTGTAAAGACTGTTAAAAGAGATGACAGATAGAGGATAATAATGATGCTCTTCTGGTTAAATACAGAGTCGAGAAAAGTGTCACCGCGAAGACGAAGCTAGAAAATTGACAATTGGCCTCCAATATGCCTCGGGTCATAAAGATTTCCGTCATTGATGATGACGCCACTAACAAATTGTTTGATGACGAGGAGGATAGCATTTTCCGGCGGACCACCAAGTACCACGTGAGCAAAGTCAGGCTGGTGAAAAAGAAGATTGTGGGGGGAAATGGGGGAGCCGGATAGGAAGTTTAGGAGCAGGCCGTGGGGGAAATGGGCTGCCAAAATTTGGGATCTGATTCAGAAAAACCAGAAATGGTTAGGCACGTTCAATATCGCCGAGGAGGTTGCTCATGTTTACGACGCCACCACCAATTTCTTGACACTGCTACCCTGTCACACGTTGCTGTCTACGACTCCACTCCGAAGCCCTATCTCCCACTTCCATTATGGTGGCATGTGGAGGTGACAACAAATTGAAAGAGATAATTGTTTTTTAGAGGGTCTGACCGCAAGGCTCGAAATGACCACGTCTGCACGTTAGAAGGCGTGCTGGCATTTAGAAAAATCTTTCTTGGACCCACAACCACAAAGCTTGAGCTTTTGGTTTAGTTGGATCCTTAACCCGTCTTAGAGAATAAAACCTTTTTTGGGGTTACAACCATAAACTTGAGCTTTTGGTTGACTTGATTTTTCGACATGGTATCAAAGAGCCTTGTTGATCTAAAGGTCACGACTTCAAAACCTCACAACCACCCAATTTTTTTAAAATTAATTTTCACGTGCAACATTTGAGCAAAAACCTTTCCTGGGGCTACTACAACCATAAACTCGAGCTTTTGGTTAGGTTGGTTCCTTGGCACTTGCAACCACAAGCTTGCGTTTTTGGTTGAGTCGATTTCTCGACATAATGTCTGAGCCTTACCGACCAAGAAGTCACGAATTCAAACTTCACCGCCACAAAAATTCATGTGCAAGGCTTGAGCAAAAATTGCACTTCAGGGGGGGCGTGTTAGAGTAGGTAGGTAGGTTGAAGGTAGAAGTAGAACACTTGTTTTGATTTTATTGTAGTAAAATGATGATGATGATGATGATGATGATGACAGGCTTGCATAGAGTTGTTGGAGGAGGAAAATGTTGAAATTCCGTCATGGATCTGTTTCAGCTCGGTAGACGGTGAAAATGCTCCTTCAGGGGAAAACTTCAAGGACTGCCTTGATGTTATTAACAAGAGCATCAGAGTTGCAGCTGTCGGTATAAACTGCGCACCTCCTCAGTTTGTTCTCCCCCTCATCCACAGATTTAAGCAGGTGGGTGGTAAAGAGTCTTGAGTCAAGAACATGAAAAAAACACACACGAGATTTCTATATCCTTTTTTGTTTTGTTTTTGTGTCTGTCTGTGTACTTGATGCAAATTAAATCTGCAATGGTAAATGATGATGCAGATGACTGAGAAGGCAATTGTTGTGTATCCTAACAGTGGTGAGATATGGGATGGCATACAAAAGCAATGGCTGGTGGGTAGTTAGTGGTGAACATGACTCCCAAGCTCCCAATATTAAATTTACTACACATCTCTCTTCTTCGTTAATGTAAGCGTGCGCGTATGTTTTTTTTTCTCTTTCTCCCCCAAGCAGCATTCGAGATGTTTCGACGACGAGAGGTTTGGGGAAGACGCCCTTCTATGGCGAGAAGCGGGAGCCAATCTCATAGGGGGCTGCTGTCGGACGACGCCCTCTACCATTGAAGCTATTGCAATAGTCCTCAAAGAACAACAACTCTGATCCCCTTATTTTTCTTGGGGCTGTGAATTAATCTACAAAGTGTCTCGTGATGTAGTATTTTAATATATATTTTTATTTTTTAATTTTATACCATTTGTCATATGAAATTATTTGAAAATAATTTCAGTCAAACATCGTAAACTGAAATAGGCACTATAAATTGAGACGGAAGGAGTATTAATGTGTGGAAGAAGATTTTATTATAGAATCGAAAATAATTTAATTTTTACTCGTGAATGACAAAGTTAAAATACTAACAGTGTACTCATTCCGTCTTGGAAAATATCGCATCTAGAATGGATTTCATTTACGTAGTGTTTGTGAACTAGAATTCATTTGAAATCTTAGATTTCAATTCCAACATTGGAAATTTCATTATTTCAAATTCCAAATATTGTTTGGGAAGTCATAGAATTTCAATTCTAGAATTTGAATTTTGAAACCAGTAAAGAGAGTAATGGAAGTGAGTTGATATATGTATGGAATTTTCATTACATAAAATGAGATCACTCTTTAATTATAAGTTCTAAATTAAAGAAAAGTTGGAATTGAATTTGTAAATGACATCAGGGGAGTTGTACGTGAATTTGTAGTTGAGTTAGTTTTGAATTAAAAGAAATCGGTCCAAATCCAAACCCACATTTTTTGAGTTTCCAAATAAGTAATTTGGATAAAATCCAGATTTGAAATTCAAATTCAAGTTACTAAACACACCAGGGTATTTGTTCACTTTTGACTCTTTTTAGTCATAATTGGTAAACTTTGAACTCAAATTAAATAAAAATGATATTAGATATTGATACAAAAATAATTTTATTAGATTTCTTATATGCCATTTTCAAAATATTATTTTATCTAATTAATATACAATATATATTTTATTTAATTATAAGTCAAAGCTTTAAAATGGTTGACTGAAAAAAGTCAAAACTGGATAAATACTAGAGACTAATAAGTAATCATGTTCTCAAGCATTATTTCAAATGTGTTGGACCTAACGAGCACGACATGTGGATCTTCTAACAATACAGGAGAAATCCAACGTTGTTCGAAACGCAACCATCGGCGTACCTCTATGAGCGGGAGTCGATTCCGGAGACTCAATATTAGAGAAGAAGAGATCGAGGGCGAGAAGAAAGCAAGAAAAGTAAGAGACCGAAATAATAGAAACCGACCTTGATACAGACTTCAAACGTATGATCTTTAAGAGAAGACAAAATGATATCAAGGCTAAATATAATTTATCTTAGTTTTTTCTATTAATGTATTTTTTTAATTATTGTCGTTTTAATTTTTTTAATTTAGTCAATGTAATTTTTTGAATTATTCTCATTTCAATTTAATTAAATAATGAAATAATTAATTTTATTAATTTAGTTTTAGAAGATGTTTATTTAAAATATAAAAAATGAAGGTTTGAAACCCCAGACTTTCAAGCCAATTTCCAATGAAACTTAGAAGTAATTTAAAGTTGACGTGGCAGAGAAAGAAATTTTGAAGCCCAGATTGAAAGCCTTAGGACTTCATATGTATTTCCAGTACCCTTACATAGTACTCCGTATTTGGGTATTTTTAGTGGAGTGCGATTCATATTTCCAATTTAATGATGAGATTCTTTACAATAACTATTTACATATTCAAATTCTTCTCTTTTTACATATTTTAATTTATTATTATATAAACTAATACTCTTTCCGTTCATTAAAATCTTTCCTCTTTTATTATTTTCATTTTCACCAAAACACTGTCTTTTTTTATTAAAATGTTTAATATATCCAAATAAAGTCATTGCAATATACTCCAACCATTTTGTATTGATAATAAATTACTTAAGTTTCATATTTTTATTTCCGAAGATATAAATTAGATCTGCCAAACCTAAAACTCAATCAGCCGTTCAAATCAGCCAATACGAACAGTTATTTGCTATCAGCCAATAGCCAACGACTAAATTTCAAACAGGGCCAACGTATCTTTGTGGTAATTGACAAGTTTGTGAACCTGCAATCTATCTATTATTTAAAAAGACATGGATTTCCATTGTTCTTTTCCCGCCCATTTCATGGTGTAGAGAATATGGTAATTCTTCACTCCATATGGTAATTACTAAATGGTAATTAATGGATTATTAAAATAATCGTGTATAAAAAAGGTTGAAAAAGGTATAAAAACCGTATATGAAAAAGGTAACGAATGCTCAACTAAAAATGATAATTTAATATAATCGTGTAATTAAAATGGTAAAGAATGTTAATTTAATATAAACATGTGTAAAAAAGATAACGAATGGAAATTTAATTTAATTTAGTTACCGTATTTGAGTAATTACTCATATAATAATATCGTGAATATAAAATTAGTGTAATTGTGATCAACATATAACCGTGTAATTTAAATAACCGTGTATAAAAAAGGTTTAAAAACCGTGTATAAAAAAGGTATAAAAACCGTGTATAAAAAAGGTAACGAATGCTCAACTAAAAATGGTAATTCATACTTTATTTAAAAACACATGGAGTCAACCTTTGTTTTTCCCGCCCATGCGTTATTACATTAACAAATGGTAATTGTTCACTTAAAATGGTAAGTTTCTGAAATTAATATAATAATAAATATTAAAAACTTACGCATGTGCTTAATTCTCCATGCATTATTACATTTACAAAAATGGCAATTATTCACTTAAAATGATAATTTTTATTACATTAACAAATGGCAATTGTTCATTTAAAATGGTAAGTTGCCAAAAATATAATAATAATTATTAAAAACTTGCGCATGTGCTTAATTTTCCATGCGTTATTACATTTATAAATGGCAAATTAATTATTATGAAGTTAAAATTAATATTAGTTTTTACACACAATGCCTTTAAAAACGTGAAAATATATATCTAAAAAATAATTATTACATAACATTAATAATCTTAAAAAATTAATCTAAAAAAATGGATTAAAAGCTATAAATACAATTCCTTTTTTTATCACACTGAATTTATCAATTCGTACGGAGTGTTCTAATTATACAATTTTGTACGTTATTTTAACCTCTTTTTTTCTGTAGGGGCGTTTGGAATTTGTTCTTTTTTATCACACGGTATTTTAATACCGTAATTGTCATTTTTATACACCCAATTGGAAATAATTACAAAAGGTAAGTTATACAATTATACACCAATTTCGCAAAAAAAAAAAAATAATTGGAAATAATTAAAAGGTAAGTTATACAATTATACACCCAATTTCACAAAAAAGATAATTAGAAATAATTAAAAAAGGTAAGTCCCAATTTCCTTTTGAATACGAACAGTTTTATCTCCGATTTTTAAAAATTACTTTTTAAAAACGTGATATTATTAATCAAAAAATAATAATTATTATTAATCTAAAAAAATGGTTTAAAAGCTATAATAAATACTCTTCCTTTTTTATCACACGGTAATAACCAGTTTTAACACGTAATCATTTTAAAAAAGGAATACATAATATGACACCGTTTATAATTGGTAATTAATTTTAAAAAAGAAACAAATAATATGATACCGACAATTGGTAATTAATCCATACTTTATTTAAAAAGACATGTAGTCAATATATGGTTTTCCCGCCCAAAGAGTATGACAATTATAAATGGCAATTGTGAAGTTAAAATGGTAAGCGGCTGAAATTATAGTAATAATTATTATAATTAGTATATTTATAATAATTAAATAAAGGTAAGTGAAAATGGCCGAAAGGTAAGTTAATAATTGTGAAGTTAAAATGGTAAGTAGCCGAAATTGTGAAGTTCTAATTATTAAAAAAGGTATAAATATAATAATTAACGTATTGAAAATTGTAAATAATTAAAAAAGTTAAGTTAATAATTTTAGTGGCCGAAATTGTAGCAATAATTATTATAATATTATATTTATAATAATTATAAAATGGCCAAAAGGTAAGTTAATAATTGTGAAGTTAAAATGGTAAGTGGCCGAAATTGTGAAGTTATAATTATTAAAAAAAAGTATAAATATAATAATTAATGTATTGAAAATTGGAACTAATTAAAAAAGGTAAGTTAATAATTGTTTTGGCCGAAATTGTAGAAATAAATATTATAATTATTATATTTATAATAATTATAAAATGGCCGAAAGGTAAGTAAATAATTATGATGTTAAAATGGTAAGTGACCGAAATTGTGGATTTATAATTATTTAAAAAGTTATAAATATAATAATAGCTATTATTTTTAAAATAATTAACGTGAGTAATATAAAATGGTAAGCGTGATGTTAATATAATTATTATATATAATAATTAACTTATTTAAAATTGGAAATAATTAAAAAAAGGTAAGTTATAAAATTGCAGAGCGTAAGTTTTTAATAAATATGGAATCAATGAATTATATGCTAATAATTAACCAACGTTATTTTGACTACTGATTGGAAATGTCTGAAATTATGTTAAGAATAAGTAACTATCATTTTTGACCATCGGAAGTTAATATAATTATTTTTATAATAGTTAACGTGAGTAATATAAAATTGTAAGCCATCAGAAGTTAATATAATTATTATATTTATAATAATTATCGTATTAAAAAAGGTAAGTTATACAAATCCAAAGCATAAGTTTTTAATATAGGTAATTTATAGAAATGCAAAGAGTAAGTTTTTGAAAATTGGAAATAATTCAAAAAGGTAAGTTATACAATTATACACCCAATTTTGAAAAAAAAATAATTATGGTAAGAATAATTATACACCCAATTTCGATAAAAGTTAACCCTTCTTATTATAATTATAATTATAATAGCCTATTACAATTAAATGTACTATAATTATTCTCAGAAATTGTACAATAATGTAGTCTATAAAGAAATCTTTCGAAATTTGTAAATGTTTTTTACCTTAAAATAATATAATCTCTATATTTTATTGCATCTCATTTTTATCATTGATAAATGATTTGAATTTAGTAACATAAAAATGACCCGTGCAACGCACGGGTGTGATACTAGTTTAGTTTAATATAGAATGTTTGGGTAGATTAATAACGGTGTTGACCCGTAATCAAACATTGACTATACCAAAGTGCTGTCATTTTACTTACGTAGGGCTGACGTGAATGCCATGTGGCTCTTTTTCTTCTTCCACTCTATAAATGATGCCCGAATCCTTAATTACCCATTCATCTTAATTAACGAAATAATTATACATTGTACTTTATTTATTTTGTCGTGACAGAAAAATGGACTGTTCTCTGGTTCTGGTTTTAATACCCCCTTTGTATGTTTTTTTGAAATGCCCGTGCCTGCGGACCTACGCCTGCCTTTGTACTCGCGGCCGTGTACATTACTTTTACTCCCCTACCTTCTCAAAATCAAATTTAATTTTGATTTATCCACTTTTTTTTTTCTACACTCCCATTCTTTTGACAACAAATCTTGTTGATCCGTTGTCATTATATAAGTATATAACAAGACAGTTTACTATGCCATGTTCGAAAAACTGATGGTTTTTACCCCCTTAACCCCCTAAATATTTCCATGCGCCCTTCCAAAAACGCTAATTGGCTACGGTAACAATGTAGCCAATCGGTGTTTTAGGAAGGGGAGCATGTTTGTTGGTGGTTTAAGTGTCATTGACTATCAGCTATTTTGTGTGATTGGGTTTATTTAGATTAGACATGGATTTGAATAGTTGTTGTCAAACAAGTTAGGAGGCGCGAAGTATGCACTCGTTCAACGATATTACAAATTCATAGCGGGGTCCGGGGGCAGCAGCCCCGGTAGGGAGGCCCAAGGGGCAGAGCCCCTGGCCGGGGTACGGGTGGGAAATTTTTTATTTTGGACGTTTTTTCTTTATGAAAATTTTTCAGATTTTCGTGAACGGAGTCCAAAACGTTAAAAGATTTGGATGTGTGGATAAATGCCAAAGAACCCTTTCGCGCAAACGTCAATCTCCTTAAGCGAACTTTCGCATTTTCAGACGTTTTCTCCTCGTGTGAACGTATGCTCATATGCGAACGCTCTTGTATGATATATCATCGATTTTCGACTCTATAAATAGAGTCTCGTAGCTATAGGTTGAGACACGATTTTCAGTGCTTGTTCCTTATTAATGTCTTATATGCGATTAAAGTATTTCGTATACTCCAAACTAACTTCGATCTGAAAGCGTTCTATACGATTTGTTATACTCTATCAAGTTGTTCTTCTCGTTCTTTGTTAGCGCTGCTTCGCAGTGTTCTTCCTCCACATTATTTTCTTACACGGTTCGGGTGGGGTAGGGGGACTTGGGGGTAAGAACCATCGCGGCACCTAAGTGCTCCAAAAACCATGCATCCTCCGGGGTCACAGATAATGTGACAACGAGGTTTAATTTGGTGTCAAAAGAATGTGCACAAAATGAACAACTTTTCTCTTCTTTATTTTTTTTAAACAAAAAATCATTTTTTGTAATAAGTTAATAAAAAAGGGTAATTGGAAAAGGGATTTTCGGTTGCCTTAATTAATCACAAATCAATTTATTAATTACGTTCGTTTTGTATATGATAAATCCAGGTCCACTTTTGGGTTTCCTGTGTCTTCACTCTCATTGGATACCGTTGCCTATGCCATTTTTATCGCCTACAAAGTATATGAAGATAACCGACCAATTTAAAGAGGTAATTTTCCCGAGTTCTCTACGTTTGGTTTAAGGAATTATGAAGGGAAAAAAAATTAACTCTTTTTTTATTCACCAAAGTTTGAGGAATTTTATTTTTTCTTTCATATTTGATTTTGTTTTCTCATTTTTTTTCCTTCCGCTTTTCTTTCATTTTCCTTTTCAAAAACCTTGAACCAAATATACTCTTGATTTAGGGCCCGTTTGGAAATAGTGTTAGTGTTTTGAAAATATTATCTACGGGCCGCGTTTAGTGTTAGCGTTTTCAAAATTATCTACACCATTAAAAAATAGTTACATTGTATATTCATAAAAAATATACTTTTATTAGATTTATCTTGCATAAAATCTTTCAAAAATTGGTTTCAATTTGATATGGATACATTTGGTTGTTGTTCAAATTTCTAATATATATAACTTGATTGGAAAAAAAAAATCAAATTGGTACAGAGATAGAAAACTTCACATAAATAAAAACAAACGCAAAATAAATTAACTCGGGTTTAGCATACTTGTCTGATTCTTTCTTTTTTTGCTTTTTTTGGCAGGCGAACATATGAACGAACTGAGGTGGTCATGAAGTTTTCTACGTATCATTTATATTTTGTACGAATATGTTATATATGGTTCAATTAATGTTAATGTTATGCCAAGAGTATGGCTTAATTACTTAGGTTATAAGGTTCATTTAAAAGAGTCCATCATAATTATAACTTTCTTTTTGGGTTTTCTACGTTTTTTTCATCAAATAATCATAATTGTCAACCGTATTGTAATATTATTATTATCAAGAATACAGCAAAATACTCCAATCTTTTGCAACCGTAAACGATCGAAGTCCTTGTTATTTCATATCAAATGGGGATACAATTTTTCAAATTATTAATCCTTTCTTTATGTATTATTTTGAGTTGATATATAGTATGCTTGCTTATGAAAAAACAATACAAAAATCTTACAATGAACACATTTAATTGCACATTAATGTAAGAATTCAATTTTAGTCCCCACATTTCAACTAATATTGGATCATTTCTAGGTTACGTCCTTCGCTTCTAAATTGAGCATGCAACTTTCAGTTTGAGAACCTGTAACATTCCCCATACCAATTATCAAGTCATATAATTCATGTATAAATATATGTGACATCGTCACCTCATTGCTCTACATGTATGAATTGAATACGGGGCACTCACTTCCAATCAATTTTTTTTACTCCGTAATATAAAGTATTAAAATAATTTTTTATAGTGAAATAAAAGAACGACCCTGGTAAAAAATTAATTTACCCACAGTGACAAAAGAAAATTTTAGTTTAAAAATAAAAAATATCACTTAAAAACATGCATATACCGTAAAATATTTGAAATATCATAATTATATTATGTTATAATATAATATATTTTATTTTTCTACTTTAAAAATAATTTATTTATTTGAATACTTGTTTGAAATTAAATTTATTTATTTTTTATCATTATCAAACGCTTTAAAAAAATTGGGAGTGCCACTCCTGAACCCCACCATACTCTTTAGTATGTATTTACCTCAATCATATTTTTTTTAGATCCGCCACTGCTCATTGCCATCACAATTATGTTGGGATAGAGACCAATCCAAAACCAGATGATTAGAAGAAAGAGTACCAAAATTTATATGGTTAGTGGTTACCCCAACTCTATTAGCCTAAGGTCTTTTAAGAGGTGTCCAAAAACAAATCTGTGAAAGCTTGGCCCAAAGTGAACTATATCATACTAATGCGGGGTTGGTGTGAGGGCACGCGCGGTCCCAACATGCGATACTGGAGGCGGTGTCTTGTGTCGAAAGTCTTTCTAACAAGTGGTGGTCGGGCGACGTATTTCATTTGGTGTTAACGGCGGTACAAGATGATTTGGTAGATCAAATGGTGTGCCCTTAGCGTATTGATGGTTTGCGGTATTGCTTGTGTCGAAAGTTTTTCTGAGAGGAGAAGGTCGGGTAACCTGTCCAGGTGTGTAGAGGCGGTGCAAGATGGTAGCAGATCAAATGGACAATCGCAAGGGGAGGTCACAGGATTATATGGTCTTGGTTTCAGGAGAGGTTTATTGGGATACAAACTAATCCCACACCGGAAAAAAAGGAGAATGAACCAAAATATATAGGTTCACCAAACTCCATGAATATGAGGCCTTTTGTGAGGTGCCCAAAAACAAATAAATTCGTGAGTATTTGGCCCAAAGCAGATGATATCATACTAATGCAGGTCAGGTTAAGGGCACGTGCGGTCCCAAAAAATTAAACAAAAGAAGTTTGTGATGAATTAACCCCATTTCAAGATTGAATAGAGATGAATATAGCGTTGGTGCAAGCTCCCCAAATTGCATTGCAGAATGAAACACAAACAATTAAACGAGTTTTTTGCGCCATTTATCTCCTGACTCTTCGAAAATTGAAAAGATTCATTTTGAATTTTAAAATTTGCACCAATGATCTCTAAACTTTTAAAAATATTACATCAATGGTCTCTCTATGCCAAATTTGGTAGTACGTCAATTGCACGCTCGTCGAGTGCAAGAGTGAATTCATCTGAACTCATATATCACATGTGAGTCCAGCAATACGTTTTTTTAAAGTCAACTAAATCTTGTGGCATGCAACTAACGAGGTGCGGGGGTATATTCAAGCCGGACTGGGGGGTAGGAAATTTATCGGGGTGGGGGGTTGTGGCATTCAATTATTTTATACTTTATTTTTAAACTTTAGCCTATAAGTTTAGTGGGACGGGCCAGTCCAAAGCCTGTTTCATATGGGCAGGGCTTGGGCTTGAAGTGTAGGCCCCTAATGCGAGCCAGGCCAGGCTAGGGCCTTAAAAATTTCAGTTATATAATGCTTTGACCCGACACGAAACCCAGCCCGAGTTTGATCAAGTCTATCTCTAACCATTCTTCGTTTTCCACATAAATAATTCTCCTCCCATATTTGATAAGTGGGTAAAACCATCATGTGCTGATTCGTACGTGCCTATCTACAATGCCATAAGCCGTCAACTGACAAATTTACTGTGCTACTTACAAGTCTACTTCCACAAATAACAGTGACATGGCTCACCATTATTCCATCAACTCAGGCGGTGGCGGTGGCGGTGCTTATGATGATGGGTGCTTCCCACAGTGTTCCTTTTATGGTGTCCATCAACTATTTCTTCTGCTTCTAGCATTGTGTTTGCTGATGTTGATGAAGGTCTGTGATGATGATGATGACGATGATGATGAATAGCTGAGGGAAAGCCGCCATTCTTGTCCCAGTCCCTAAAGTCACGAACTTGCTTTGCGTTCATCATCCCCGTCGATGACAAACTTTTGGCAGCTCTGTGGTTTTTGTCTTTGTCCTTGTGAACATGGTGGAGGAAGTAGTGGTAATCAGTAGCAGTGCCAGTTGGTGGGTGGCGAGTTGTTCTCACTCCTTTGTGTGCCGCAAGTCGATGGTGGGGATGATGATGCTTATGGTGGTGGTGATTGTGTCTTTTCTTTAAGTAAGCTTGCTGATGATGATGGTGATGATGAGGAGGAGGAGGAACTGGTGAAAAGTGATCTTCCCACCAGTCATATATAGGATCAAACACTCCTTTCTGATGCAGAAGCCATAATAGCACCATCACTGCATTTCACATTGCAGAAGCGCAGAGTAATTAATATGTGGCTTCCAAACTTGCTCTTCTCGGGAAAAATTTATGGAAAGGTGAAAAATCAAGCAACTCACAAGTTGGGAAAATGGCAAGGAGTAGAGCAACCAAAACTATCCAATTCAAACAAATGTATTGTATGTGGCAGCTCACATCAAAAAACCCGAAACATTTTGTTCTGTTCAGACAAGGAAAAATTAGTAATCAGTTCGCTAGGTAAAATTTGCCACAAATCATATCCCACATACACATGGAGTTAAGTCTTCAAAGTTAGTTCAGAAAAGTATTTGTTTCACTCACAACTGCAATATCTCTGTGTGGGTGTGTGTGTGGGTGTCTGTGTGTGTGTGTTTGTGATGCGGAGTGGTTGATTAGGCAGGCACCTGCAATTTTCTCCTGTAAAAAAATCTGTCAAACCTGCCAGCAACTTGTTCCACAGTTGTTGAAGTGTTTCAAAAAAACCATGCACACCTGTCTTGGGGGGTTGGAATGGTACCTGTGGGTAAATCATAGATTGTGTGGCTAAATAAGAGTGCTGTTTTTCAAATACTATTTCCCACAAGATTATCATTATAGGTAAATAGTCCTTCAATTTGGATTTATTTGTCCACTTGTGCTTTTTTCGGCAACTGGAATTAATTGTTCAGTTTCCATTTAAGTGAACAAATGGTTGGGAATTATCAAAAATATCCCTAAAAGCTAGCTATGTTTGGTGCGTGGAATTCGGAAGGAAAAGAAAAGATTCTCTCCTTTTCCTCACCAAAATGGAGGAAAAATGTTTTTTTCTCTTCTTAGTTTATTAGCTCCTCTTATTTTCTGTTCCTTCTATTTCACATTTCTTTTCCTTTCTAACAAAACACGAATATTTTTTTCTACATCATTTTCTTTTCTTTTCCGTTTCAAATTCCTTGAACCTAACATAGTCTAATGTGAAGCACTTTACACATTCCTTAGAGACTAATCAGACTAGAGAGGGAGTATGAAGTAAAAAAAAGACCATCTGTTTTAAGTGTGAATGTTAAAACCTGTGTTCCATTATCAAATGCCGTAGCAGTTGTTGAGAACTGACACTCTGCTCGATCAATTTCATTAAAATCAGAGTCTTTCAATATTGCTGCAAACACAAATTTGACCAGCATCAGGAACTCAATTATTTAATGAAGCTGGAAAACTTATTTTCTAATGTCTAATTAATACCAGAACATAAATAATTTGCTGCTTGATCACTCGACGGGTTCAACTTGAATGCTCTGGTGACAAGTTCATTAGGCTTCATTATGTAAAACTGCTCCTGTAAGCAATAAAGTTTTTTTAAGACAAACCATGTTCCTTGAAGGCATTGCAATTATATTGGTGGATGCTAACGAATTTCTGTCATATGATCACACTAATTCACAACCTCCATTTGGCTGACACCACCAGAGCAATCAAACTGCAAATATTCAAGAAATAAGTAAACCAAATCAATTCAAGGAATTCATTCAATCACAATTGCCCTAAGGTCTAGACACCGAAAACTCGTAATTTGTATCTTGGCACAGATCTGTGCACAGTCTATACAATTTGTAAGCCAACCTTACGCTACAGTTTCATTGATGAAAGACAATACATAACTCTCAAACTAGGAACACATTTCAACTACTAGTTTACCGTGAGGCTGTAGGATGCTTCTACATCACCAATATTTTTAGTAGTAATTGTTGCTGTCCCCGATTGAGTAAGAGCTTCAAATGTAGGAGCAGCAATGTCCATAATTTTCCCTGGGCTCCTGAATGAAAAAAGGTATGGCATTGAATCCCCAACACTATCCAAAGTATGGAAAAGAAAAATCTTCCTCAACATAGGTAAACCTTTGATAGACATATTCTATATCATCAGCACTCAGTTCAATCAAGAGATTGGTATTGAGAACTTCAGTTATTCCAATGGAAAATGCATGACTTCCTGCATTCTGAAATAATAGTATTTATTATTTGATGGCAAGAGAAAGGAATCATTGTAACTACAAAATAAAAAGGCATGAACCATAACTGGATGTTGGTTGATTCTCTCAAACCTTCCTTGAACACAGTACAGTGGCACCTGGTTTCTGCCGATTCGATTTTGATCTGCCTGATAGATGCAAAAATGCAATATTGAATCTAACCGCTGATATGGATACAATTCAAGAATGTGTGGTCAAACTGATACAGTGATACATACATCCCAAAAGTTCCAAAGTTGGTTATGCAAGCAACTCCAATATGGAGCCGAGCAAAACCCAGGCTGTGAATTGAAGGCCTCAAAACCAACACCAATTTTGTTACATTCAAGACCATCTAGAGTAAACCTAACTCTCTCCAGAAGCATCCACATGGAGTAATTGCTCCCAAGATTTTCAGGTTGACCTGGACCACCCTTTGACAAAGATAAATCCAAATAAATAACATAAATATAAGATGTTTACACAAGAGAACAAAAGCTATTATGATTCTTAAGAGGAAATCAACAGATAAGTTGAACTAAAAAAACAACCTCCAAGTGTGTGGAAAGTCATTGGTACTAGAATTCAAAACTTGTTGTAGAAAGTTCAAAGCGGGTTTAATTAATGAGAAGAAATTTACATGTCTAGGGATAACAAGGTAGTAGTCCTCAAAAGATGGAATATCTGTATATCCAACATAGTCTCCAACAAGATTCACTCTTAAAAATTTATCATTGGATACAGCAGTCCTATTTCCAGGGCCAACAGTCACTTCCTGTCCCAAGAAAACGAGGCAGATAATCATTTAATAATCACTGGGCATCAGGAGACAAGAGGGGGAAAAGGACAAAATGCAATCTATAGCTCATATAGATTGATAGAAGACTTTATGAAATTCATCAAATTGATGATGCTTAATTCTTATGTAGAGCTTTGAACAACTTAAAGCATTCAAGGCATCAAATTCTCTTCATTTGAGATGATGTCTTTGTTCAGATAAATATTAGCTCTTCTTAGCATATCTTCAGAATAAAACTTCATTATTGGGATGGAAGAGAACAGAGTTTTAAATACGCAAAATTCAAGCAAAACTACAAGATCAAATGCAGTGAAAATGTCAGTGCACATGGAACACAAGATTTTCAGAAAATTCAGAGTACGTACTGATACTTGAGATTTTGTTTTGACTTCAATTCTAATACTAAATCCAACTGAGCGGTGTCCAATACCAAACACATGGAACCTGAGTGAAGAAGGAACGGTACGGATTACATATCACCTTTAAATGTGATTTACTACCCCCCACCCACGCACCCACACACAGAAGATAATGGGAAAGTGAAACTACTTTTACAATCTCAACTAAATCTATTATGAATATAGTTATCTACATAAAATCTAAGCAAGCAATTTCAAAAGCCTTACCAATCACCTGGAAACCGAAGACAATGAGCAGTGTTTGCCTTCCCTTTCATCATCTTGTCAACTAATTCACACGCATATACACACACAGAAAGCAAAACCAAAAAAAACAAGTCAACAAATTGTTAACCATGCACTGCAATCTGTTGGCAATTTGGCATCAGGACAATTAATATTAGAAGCTTACAAAAGTTTCCACAAGATGATGGAATCCTGCGTTGTCCACCACATGGACAACAGATAGGCTGTAAAGACAGTATTCAAGAAGATAAATAAATTACAACATTTCATTATAATTGATTTTCATGATCATCAACTAGCATATAATAACTTTCCAACTAGCATAGAACACTAAAATAACAACACTTCACTATAATTGATTTCCATGATGTAATTATGTAGATCCGAACCCAGAAAATGCAATCACTAACTAGTATAACCTTTCCAGGGATCAACTTTATCAATTGAATTGTTCTATCTAAATCTGAAGCACGTGACTTAACTACATATGTGATAAATTAACAGTAGCTTTTATGATTTCAACATGCACCACACCACCACCAACAACAACAGCAATAACAAACCCAATATAATCCCAACTTTGTTGAGGGTTTGAGAGCGAGAGGGCAAGATGTATCCAACCTTACCCCTATAAAAAACAGAGATTGTACTAATATGTTACTATTAATATGGGACAAACACTATACAGAACTGGCTTGTAAAGTAATGCTGTGTCACTTGTGTGTACATTCTGTAGATTGTAGAATATTAAAGATATGGAACAAATTTCAGCAATTACTTTTCATTACTAATATAGTAACAATTTCCAGAAAAACACCAGTATAACTATAGAATGAGCAAGAAATGCTGCTAGAGCATTCAAATCATTCATTAAGGAGAAATGAAGGTTGAACCTTCACCTACCTGAGTGTGGTCGATAATGTTCCCATTCTCATCTTTCAACCTACACTGATCACGAAGTTATGTATAGTAGGAGAAGAGTAAAAGCTCCAATCTTTCGGAGAAAAAAAAACGGGCTCAGGTGATGTTGGTAAACAGAACTTGCCTTTCACATATCCGGACAACATCTGCACCAGCATTACTCTTACACTTTCTTGTCTTCACATACAACTCTTGTGGTTTGTAAGCGACATCCTTAACAAAAGGTTTAGGGTTTGTATCAGAAAGCGTAAGAGCAAGTATTCTTATCTGAGTTGAACCAATTTACAAAAACCATAGCCGAAAACCTAACGTACTCTTATGTATGTCAATTCATATAAAGCATAGGCAGCGGATTTTTGGATGGTAACAGAAGGAGGAACCCTAAGGGTGCGCATGTTAGTTGCATTCTCTTCCACTTCCACAATCTCCGCCACCATTGAAGCCTCATTCCCACTCTGGTTGCCAAAAAGATCCAAAATTACTGTCCACACGGTTGCTTAAGAATTGTGCGTGTTTGCGAGAGAAGAGTGAACGATTACTTACAGAATCGCTGGGAACGGCTAGGTTTATGAGGATCTTGTTGGTGCAATTGAGTTGTTGGTCTGAACCAGAGCCTTTCTCGCATTTCTGGAGCTTTGATTTTGACAGTATTTGAATCGAAGAAACCGATAGGATGGGGAAGAAGAAACTGAACAAGAGAATTGGCAGTGCTAGAGGCTTCATTGAGGCCATTTGAGCGCCATTCAATCAATTTTCCTGCCAGAATCCATTAATTCACGCTCTGGATGGTGAATTCATTCGGTAAAACTGTAATAGGGAGTTCGGCAAGTAATTTAGGGGCAAATAGAAAATGGAGCACTGGCCTATAGACATTTGAGGCTTTCTTTAGAACACATGCACGTAGAATTAAGCTAGGGGTACACCAACATGTATACCCCCAAGTGTATACCAAAGCCAACATAGACACACACAAACATAAAGTATTTGTGTTGCACAGACATTTTGTGTCTATATGTGTCTGTGTTGGCTTGGTGTACACTTGGGCTACCCATGTTGGTGTACCCCTAGCATTGCCCTAAAACGTATCAATATTTTGGGGCAAAAGTGTGACAAGAATATACTCCCTATAATAAAAAGTTAAAAATACATAAATAAATAAAAGCTAACAAGAATTCAAACTTCAAAATAACAATTGAGAAGTTAATTTTTTGAAGAAAAGGAATAAAAATTAAGATTATATTTTATATTTTATATTTTATTTAAATAGGTCCATTAGATGTATTATGTAAACCCTAATTATATCATGTATTCTACTCTATATGAAGGAAGTATCATTAATTAAAGATGAGATACAACCTTCAAAAATTATCTGAAATAAGATTTTTTTTTTGAATATTCACATAAATAAGACATTTTTATTTTTTACACAAAAGGGTACTTATTCAGTCCAATTACAATGCATCTCAAAAGTCAAATTAAAATAGAAAATATTTTGTAAAACAGAGGAAGTAATAAATAGAAAAAATAAGTCAAATATGCTTTAATCGAAACCGAAGTCTAATTTCTTACTCCCTTGCCTCATTTTATATAGTCGATTTCATTTTACAATGTTTGATTGAGATTTTATTTCATTTTATTTATAAGATAATTGAGTGCAATTAAAAAAATAAGATTATCATATTCAAAAACTACATCAAAAATTCTACAAACAAATAATATAACGACATGAATATATTATTTTACCAAATAACTAACAAAAATGAATAAAAAATTTAAAAAGAATCTGAGTATTTGAAAATGATATAGGCCTTTGGTATTAAGGTTATGTTCTATCTTCGCCTGATTGTTTCTGATCTGCTTGGAATAAGTTCTGATCTAAATGTAGTACTCCGTAATACTTAAAGCTATTTCTAATTTGATACTGTATGATTTTGTATGATATGATTCCAATAAAAGTAAATAAGAAATAAAAAAATAAGTTGATGAAATCATTACCTAAAGAGTACTACCTCCGTCCCAAAGTATTTGTCCACTTTCATTTTTACACACCATCCAATACACTTTTTTAATCCATTTTATCTTGTAATTTGTATATTAAAAAATTATAGAAATTATATATTAATAATCTATATGTTAAGACAAATCAAACAAGATCACAGATGACTTTATTTAGGCTTATACATTGAGAGAATTTGATAAGTCAAATTGATTTAATGAATAGTTACAAAAGTCAAAACTAGACGAATACTCCAGGACGGATGGAGTATTTTATAAAGAAAGGAAAAAAAAGTTGAGGCATTATTAAAAAAAGAAAAAGAAAAAAGGGTGAGGGGACAAGAATAGGGCCATTATTAATTCCATAAACCCGCCCACGTTTCTCTCGTTCTCCAATCCCCATCATCCTATAATCCTATATCCCATCTATCATCAAAATTCAAAAACCTGTTTTGAAGTAACGGCAATGGAAACTTCCCATCCTCCAGCGCACAAGACAATAATGAGAGGGAAAAACCGCCGCATGTTATTATTTAACGCCGTCTCCGCCGCCACCCAGAGGAATCGCCGCCCCCACGCCGCCGTTGATGCACCGGAGGAGAGGAAGAAACCCAAAGAGCGCAAACAGGGCAAGCCAAAGTGGCCGCCGTTCAAGAAAACCCCGGAGATCAAAAGCCACAAGGAGGAGAAGATTACGGCAAAGAGTGGAGAGAATAATCCGGGCAAGTCAAAGCCGCCGGCGCATTTCTTATTCTTAACTGCATCAAAACGCTGCCGTAGGGGATGGGGTTCGAGACTTTCCGGCGGCGGGCTGCTGCTGCTGAGGTGGAAGAGGAGGGTAGGATGTGCGTTGAGGAAGTGGATGATCAGAGGAAGAAGAAGTCTCATGGGGTGGGCCCCGACAAGGCGGCCCCGCGACCCGGAGATTTAGAGATTGATGAGAAATGAAGAAGACGAAGAAGAAGAAGAAGAAGAAGGGATTGAGCTGTGCAAGAAGAGGATTCTAATGGGGGACAAGTGCAAGGCGCTGAGCCAATCCGGGAGGCTTCACTACGATGAGAATGGCGTTTTGTTGCCGGAGATGATACCATAGGAATGAGACTTCCCTTGCATTTGAGAAGAGCTTTAGATAGTTAGTATGTCGGGATTAACGTTTTGAAAAAAGTTATCTAAGGACAAAATGATTTAGGAGCATTTACTTTTTATTTCCGGTTCATTTTACGATCACTTTGATGGTCAACTTTTTAAAATTTTGACCATGAATTATGGATAAGATATACTCCCTCCGTTCTACAAAACTCTTCCCCTTTCGTTTTTTTGCTTTCTACAAAACACTTCCACTTTCTATTAAAAAACCACTTTTACCCCTACTTTTCCATACCATATCTATCACATCATGCTTTTTTACTAATAGTCAAACTATCACATCTTACTTTTTCTCATCACATCAGGGGCAAAATTGGAAAGTCAACCAAAATTACACTTTCCTTATTTTTGCCCAAAGTCAAAATAGGAATGGTTTTGTGGAACGGAGGGAGTATTAAATTATGATATACTCGTAATTTAATACCAATAGATCAGTTTGAAATGTAGTTTTAAAATATCATATCAGTATATTTATGCACATACACACAAATAGAAATGTTAATGGTTAAAGTATTACTCCCTCGGTCACCGTTTAAGTTGTATGTTTACTATTCACACGCATGGTTAAATTCTAACCATGTTTTTACCCAATTTTGTTACTCATTTGATAAAATAATACAATCTTGTCTCCTCTTATTTTGTAGATCTTTTGTTGTAGTTTTTAAGTATATAGAATTTATTTTTAATTACACACCAGGCCAATTTTCAAATATATTAAGTTGAAACTAGTCTCCGGCGGCCAAACTTCGTAAACAACATGTGATTTAATTTGAGACAGAAAAAGTAGATTAGAGACTGTGTAAAAATCATCTACTTAGAAAGAAAGAAAAGAGACGAATAGTATAAAAGTTTGATATTTTAAGATGAACACAATTATATTAAATATGCATTATAACTAAATATATTTTTACAAAAATGCTTGGGGCCAAGTATTCTACAACACTTCTCTACTATACAAGTTTGGGTGTGATTCAAAAAAGTAGGGAGTGGATAAAAAAGCATGTAGTTGTGATCAAATTGTATGTGCTTAGTATAACTTTGTGTACAATTTGGTGTACCCTTATTGATGGTGTAAAATACGCCAAAATGATTGTATAAATTACTACCGGGTGGTTAAGAAGACTCATGTGCGTCGTCTGCATGCGGCGGAGATGCGGATGTTACGATGGATGTGTGGGAAGACAAGGTTGGATAGGATTTCGAACGAAGTTATCCGACGTCAGGTAGGCATGGCGCCGGTGGAAGATAAATTGCGGGAAGCGAGGTTGAGATGGTTTGGTCATGTGAGACGGCGGGATGTTGACGCCCCTGTACGGAGATGCGAGCGGATTACGGTTTTCGGGGGAAGTAGGGGAAGGGGTAGACCTAAGAAGAATTGGAAGGAAGTGATTAGACAGGATTTAGGACTTCTCACCCTGACTGAGGATATGGCTTTAGATAGGAACCTTTGGAGAACTAGGATTAGAGTAGCTGGTTAGGAACTCGGTGCTATAGAGGTTTTTTGTAGTGTGTTGTGTTTGTTTGGAATCTTTTATTAATGCTTGTAGAACTTTCTTTTCATTGTACTTGGTGTTTTATCCATGCTATACTGTATATCCTATCATATTTTTTGTGCAGGTTGAGCCGGGGGTCTCTTGGAAACAGCCTCCCTGCTTCCAAGTAGGGGCAAGGTCTGCGTACACACACCCTCCCCAGACCCTACTGTAGTGGGATCCAACTGGGTTGTTGTTGTTGTTGTACTACCGGGTAAACTACTTTAGACCGGGTCTAAGGTGTCTTACTGAGTTTAGCTAATGAAAGGACTCAATAAATGAAGATTGATCGAGAGAACTATAAGTAGGAACACCTATAGTCCAATTGTTATTAAATATATGTGGAGTACAATGAGGAATTACACAATAGGCTCTAGAGATATAAAATTCTGACCCCTTCTACTAAGGGTTACAAACCTATTTATAGTGAAGCTAGGTGACAAGGTGGCAGACACATGCCTGGCCACGTGCTTGCCACATGATGACGTGACAATTCCTTGTCTTGTAACATTTGTCCCTTCCTGGATGCTTTCCCCTATGACTGTTCTCCTTGGCGCGTAGTGCTTGGGTGAGAATGTTTGGGAAAGCCTGCTGGTGCAGGGGAATCTAGCCTATACTAGTCGCTTCCAAGCTACTACTGTCCAACCGTGCTGGGCTATCATCACATGCAAGTTAGTACAAGTCCCAAAAATGCTCTCGACCAGTTCCTCAGCGGGCTTTCTTGCTCACTTAAGGATCCCGCGCGATGACAAGCTACCTAACCAGTCCCCAAGTAGTCACTTAGATGGTTTCTTGAAAGATGTTATCTGATCATTCGAGGATCTGACCGTGTTATGTCACTCGACCAGTCACCCACGGGTCACCCAGGTGGTTAGGTTGGACCCAACTCGGACTGTGGAAACATTCGCCCAAACTGCCCTTGTGCGCATTGATTGGGCCTTGCCCGATTGGTCTCATCTCTATTCAATCGTGTTGGGTCATAATCATGTTAGTACATCAAGTCCTAAAAATCCACTTGGGTGGTTTCCTGAATGAGATATCGTGATCATTCGAGGATCTTCCCTACAGTGTCATGCTACGTGACCGGTCGCCTGAAAGTTACCCGGGTGGTCTGTATCCAGGACCTGGTCATGTACAGATCCACCCAAGCTACCTGGTTGCATATTATTTGGGTTTCACTCAGTTGCTCCTGGTTGGACCCGACACAAGTCGTGGCTCTGGTGGAATACACCCATCACCGGGTAAATACGACTGGATTATAGTGGTAGGTCTATTGCCATCGAACAAGGTTAGAATCCACCCGGGTGGGTTTTGGTCCAAAGCTACCCGGGTGATCTCTTGAAAGTATATCGTGCTTTTCACCCAGTCAAGTATGTTGCACCCGGGTAGTCTTGGAGACACTCTGACTAGGTCACTACACTTTGCTCTCTCTACTACTGTTTACGTCGAGTAGGTGCATGAGAACCAACCTGGTAAGGTTACCTCTGCACGGTTAGGACCGGGTAAACTTTGAATGTCAGGCTAGCTACATGATGAATCGTCTCAAGTTTACCTGGTCACGGAGATTACACGCAGGTAGGCTTCATGATATTTTGACTGGGTCAACTTTTTTTTGTCTCCATTACTTATCGTGTCAATCTAGAAATTCACTCGGGTGGGTTTGTGGTAGACCAAAACCGGGTCACGGTCAGGAAAAAATACACCCATCACCAACAGTGTGCCCCATTTGTCCACTACCACACTCCTCACCACACATATTTTATTCACCACTCACTCACTCTCTCTCTCTCTCTATCCACATCAAGAAATGTGTAGTTGGAAATGTGGTGGTGTACAAATGGAGTATAATTTTCATGTACATACCCTAGTATTTTTTATTTATTTAAAGGTGAACATCCACCCCAGGCGACCCACACCCCGGTTCGAGAGGATAGTGAGGGGTTAAATCATGGTATAGTCTTAGGGCTTATTCTCTTTGCCTGATTTAAATGATTCTTTTCATATTGAAATAATTTCTAACATGATATGAATGTACTTATATTTAAAACTGTTTCAGATCTGGTCTGATCTGAACCAAACTTATTCGAATAAGATAGAGTAAAGTAATAAGAATATGTTGAAGAGAACAAGCTCTTACTCTAATCCTTAGAGAAGCCTTCTCATGTCCGGTGCGAACAGAGAGCCTTTACAATGAATAAAACTCCCACACTACCACTACTGGGATTTGATCCTAAGACCTCGCACTACAAAAATATGGTATAATAACGAAGGAAATACTCTGTCACCGCACCTTAAATTCCATGGGGAATTGGCCTTAATAGCGATATAGGGACGACTCCATTTTCATCGTTATATTTTCGTTGGTATTAAATGTAATGATAGAACTTTTTTATCCATTAATTGGAAATTGAATCTTAATAACTAATTACTTTCCTTATTCCTTTATTTCCTTATTATAATTTTTCTCATACTTGGATTGAAGCTCTCTCTTGTAATCCCTATATATAGGGAGCTATTTTTCATTATTTAATAAGATAAATTATTATCAAATTGTATCATGGAACTAAGGTTTTCAAAAACCTATCCCATTCTTTTCCGACCGAGCACATTGTCGGTCTCTGTTCACAATGGTCGACTGCTTAACAGTATGGCGTCAGCGACCGATCTCGACGAGCGTGCCTAACAGGCCCCACGTGCGTGGTATGCACGCCTACATCATTTTTGTAGGGCCTTGGTTTCTATTGACGTATTTATGACACCAGTTTATTCAGTCGCCACTATTTTTGAGGAACATTCTGTAACACCCTGGCTCCCACCCTAGTCGTAAGTGTCTGCTCATAGGATTGTCGACTGGCCCCACAAACCAACACAAGTCTTTCCGTGCACTTTGTCCTCACTCGTGCGCGCCAAAGGAATTTCCTAGGGGGTCACCCATCCTAAAATTGCTCCAAGTCAAGCACGCTTAACTTTGAAGTTTATAGGTGATGAGCTCTCAAAAAGAGGGTAAATTTCACCAATGGTACCTGAACTTTAGTTGGAATTTCGAAGTGGTACCTGAACTTCAAATCCTTTCACAAAAATCCCTGAACTTACACAATCCTTTCACTAATGAGCCATTAGCCCGTTTCTAGGTTAACTTCCGGTCATTAGAGCCAAATTCGAATTTTATATATTTTAAAATTTTCAATTTGACCCCATTTCTTCTTTTCTTTTCTTCCAGGCCCCGCCGCCGCCGCCCGCCGGTCAAATTCGCCAGAAAATGAACTTTTTTCGATTCCGGCGGGACCAATGTCATTCTCTTCGTCTTGAGACGAGGATCAATAATATCCAAACCATTTTGTCTAATTTTGCCTGTAACTTCTCGAATCTGAATTTTTCTACTCGAAAAAATCCTAAAATCGAAATTGGGTCCAAAATGGGGGGTTTTGCAAATCGTCATCAAATCTTGCAATTGAGGGGTCCTTAGAGGTCGCCCGGATGCCACGACCGCATTGGAGTTGGTGCCCGCCGTCAATTTCGCCGGAGTTGGCCGGAAAACGCTCTGACCCGCCAGGTACCATTGGTGAAATTCAAGCTAAAGTTCAGGTACCATTGGTGAAAGTTACCCCTCAAAAAGAAGATGCACCATATTGGTACGAGTAGTATTATCAATCCTTTTGAGCTCTTCTCATTCCCATCTTAATACGGGGTATTACAGATCAATTAAGACGGACCAGTCTTTTAATTTAAATCTTTACAAAAATAATCAGATTAGTTTCGTTATATTAAGACGATTAGAATCTCTAAAATATCTTTTAATTCTTTAAAAGACTGAATTGTCGTAAATAAATGACTCTTATTTATTTAATTATTGATTAACTTCTAGACCGGTTTTCAGGGCATTACACATTCACCATCTTGGTCTATGTTGATGATATGTCATTACCCATGCACTGGGACTTTTAGTTGAAAGAACTCGGTCCTTTGCATTACTTCCTTAGCATTGAGGTCAAGCACATCAAGGATTCCATTCTCCTCCATCAGACCAAGTACACACATGATCTTCTACGCCGAGAAAGAATGTCGGAATGTCACCCCGTCGTTACTCCTATGGCGGCTCGACGTGTAATCACGTTCTCTACTCCTCTCAAGGATCCCTCTCACTTCTGTAGCATTGTTAGTGGTTTACATTATTTGGTTGTTACTTGTCTAGATATCTAATATGCTGTTAATAAGGTGTCTCAATTTATGCACAACCTGACTAAACAGAATTGTCATGCCTTGCAGTGCATTCTGCGATACTTACAAGGTACTCTACACCTTGGTCTTCTTTTTTTGCAATATGGGACTTGATCTATCGATTTACTCTGATCTGATCGGGAAAATGACAAAGATGATCACAAATCTACCACTAGTTACAAGCTCTTGCTTGGCTGCAACCTCATCTCTTGGTGTACGAAAAAAGCAAGCATGTGTCTTTAGATCTCCCATAAAGCAAGCTAAATATCGTGCCATGGCTGCAGGTGTGATTGAAGCCATATGGTTCCGCTAAATTACTGATGCTCTAAGCATATATTCCTCCATCAAAACCTCGCATATACTATGACAATGGCCAACTATCCGTGTGACCAAAAATCTAGTTCTACATGACCACTTGAATCATGTTGGTTTAGATTGCCACTTTGTATGAGATGAAGTTATGGCAGGAACTATGACTCCACATAATGTTCCTTGATTAGAGTAGTTAGCAGACATTCTGACGAAACAGCTCCCGCCAGTTCCATTTGAGTACATGTGTTCCAAGCTACCCCTCGTCTCCGCTGATCAGCTTGCGGGGAGATAATAGGAAATATAATCTTAATAATTAATTACTTTCCTTATTCCTTTATTTTCTTATTATAAATCTTCTCCTACTTCGATTGAAACTCTCTCTTGTAATCCTGATTTATAGTGAGCTATCTTTAATTATTCAATAAGACCAATTATCATCAAAATATATCGTCCATCGCTATATAATGATAGAGTTAGTGGTTGTGTCTTACAATGGTTTGGGAAATGGATTAACTCCGTCCCCAAGAATGGCGATGAAAATGGCAATCGAATTGAATAATACGATTATATGGCGACGGAAACCATATATGTGTTGGGGAAGCACGGAACAAAACACAACGGAAGCGTATAAAATCTTTTCCCCAAATTAATGAGATGAACAACAAAGCACTATATACTCCAAAAATCAGCAGCACCACCACAAATAAATAGCAACAGAAATAAAATAAAGAATACACGATTTACGTGGAAACCCCAAATCGGGGAGAAAACCATGGCCGCTCAACAACGGCTCCCAAACTTCCACTAATCACCAAGAATCAAGTGGGTACAACAAGTTCTCCTCTCTAGTAAACACTAGAGGTATACACAATCATCAAGGAGCAACCTTGGAACAACAACAATCAACAATTCACCATAAAATAGAGTAAAAACTCCCAAAAACGCAGGTCTGAAAATGCAGCAAGAAAACCACCTTCCGGGCATCAAAACGAGAAACTGACCGTTGGGTTTGAAGAGAAGTATGTGAGGAACAACATACTAAAATTTGAGCACGATCGGACTTCGTTTGGCCTTCGATCCGGACTGAAAACGGGGCTGCTGCACAATGTGGCAGAAATTCTGTTTTTTCTTCTTTTCTCCTGCGTATTGGCTACAACCACTGCCTTCTCAAGTTGCTCACTTATCCTTTTTTTTCTTCTTTAGTTAGTAGTAGCCACACAACACAAAAGAATGGGCCACCAAAAAAACATTTGGGCTAAAACTTTACACACAAAAAAAAATAAGCCCAAATATAAAAGAGAGATGTAAAGTATTGTCCAATTAAAATTGGACACTTCCTCCATGTAGGAGGGATATTTCCCAACAAATCTCCCCCTCACTCCTACATGGAGTGAGCAAACAAACCAGCCTTCTCACGGCAAAACACGAGTTTCTCCTTCGGCAATGTCTTGGTCAACATATCTGAGCAATTCTCACTAGTGTGAATCTTCACAAGTTTAAAAGACTTGTCCTCCACGGCTTCTCGAATCCAATGATACCTTCTCTTAATGTGTTTGGTTCGAGAATGAAATGCGGCATTCTTGGCAAGGTGGATGGTACTTTGTGAATCACAATGAAGAAGATAATTTTCTTGTTCCAAACCAAGCTCCTCAAGAAAATTCCTCATCCATAACAACTCCTTGCCTGCCTCAACAGCTAGGGCTGTTCATGTTTAGGTCCAGACTGAAAAACCCGACCGAACCGGACCGATAGGTCCAGACCGAATTGATTTCGGGTCGGTCTTCGGTCCATACTTTTTAAAATTTCGGGTTTTGGTCCGGTCCGGTCCAGACCCGAAATAATATAGGTCCAGACCGAGATGACCGATTGAAACTCTTAATACTCTGTACTCCGTAGTCTTGTATTAATGTGAGGGGACTGTGACTTATCGCCATTGATCTAGGCATTCATCAAAAAATCTCCAGCCCTATTTCTTCCCTAATCTTTGGATTCAAGTCTTTCCCTCGAGATTCACTTTCATACTTTTGCACCATCTCCGATTCTTCACTCCATGTTCTTCTCCTATGTTCATCATCTTCGATTCTACACCCCCAGCAGCTACTGTGATACCGCACGCCACCGCCCACCAGCTGCACAAGAACAAGCAAGAAGGGGAAGGCTTGACTTTAAGCCTTAATCGTGACGCCTCCTTCCAGGTTTAGATTTTGCGATGGCTTTGGTCTTGGCTTGGTAATGTTTTTAGGAATAGCAATTATGATGTTGGCTTTGGTTTTGTTTTTGAGATTTGAATTTCAGATTTGTTTTTGAATTGAATTCAGCTCCTTTCTTTAATTTGGGATTCATTTTTGTTTTACGAATGGATAAGGATGCTGGGTTTCTTGCAAAGTTTATTGTGGGATTTGTTATTTTCGGTCTATTCGGTCCATTTAGGTTCGGTCCAATACATATCAGTCCGGTTCGGTCCAAAACCGATTCCTAATCGGTCCGGTCTTCGATCCAAATTTTCTTACAAATCGGTCTTCGGTCCGGTCCGGTTTGGTCCGGTCCGGTCCGGTTCTGGACCGATGAACACCCCTATCAACAGCTGCTATATACTCTGCCTCAGTAGTGGACAAAGCAACACACTTCTGCAATCTTGATTGCCGTGAAACTTCAGCTCTAGCAAATGTCATCAAGTATCCCGAGGTAGACTTTGCAGTATCAACATCTCCAGACATATCTACATCTGTGTACCCATCTAACACAGGCTGTCCAATACCAAAACATAAACAAACTCTGAAGGTACCTCTAAGATATCTGAGAATCTATTTCACAGCTGCCCAGTGCTCTTTACTCGGATTCGACATGTAGCGGCTAACAACCCCAACTGAATGTGCAATATCTGGCCTTGTACATACCATGGCATACATCAAACTACCCACGGCTGAAGCATAAGGCACCTTGTTCATCTCTTGCTTTTCTTTCTCACTTGTAGGGCAATGGTCCATACTCAACTTCATGTGGCCTGTAAGTGGAGAGCTCACGGGTTTAGCATTGCTCATGTTGAATCTACCAAGCACCTTCTCAATGTATCTCTCTTGGGATAGCCAAAGTTTCTTGTTCTTTCTATCCCGCGTGATCCTCATGGCTAAAATCTCTTTAGCAGGGCCTAAGTCCTTCATTGCAAAGGACTTACTCAATGACTTCTTCAAGCAAGCAATCTTCTTGGTGTCCTGGCCAACAATCAACATATCATCTACATATAAAAGAAAAATAAGAAAGTCACCTTCGGAGTAATTCTTCACAAAGACACAATGATCAGCGTGTGTTTTGTGGAAGCCATGATCAACCATAAAGGACTCAAACTTCTTGGTGGTCCCAAAGTGGTGAGATACAAAGTCTAGATGGGGGGGTGAATAGACTTTGTTTCAAATTTAAAACTTTTTCGTTTCTTTTGAAAACGTGAAAATGAGTGTTAATCTATAGTCCTTGTGAACTTTAGATTGTGTGCGAATTTGGTGGGTAGAGTGAGCAGTAATCAATATAGATGGGTTAGTTTTCACAATTAATGTAATTGCAAGTAAGAGTAAAGATAAAGGAGAGAGACACGCAAACTTTAACGAGGTTCGAAGGTGGGGTAATCCTTCTACGTCCTCAAAATCCACTATGTAGTTGGTTGTTGAATAATGAACCAACAATTACACTTGTGTGAATTTCTGCACGGTATATCTTCGCAAGGCCAATGTTGCTACTGCACTCGTGCTGGCTTTGTTGTTCCTTCGAAGGTCACGCTTCTTCAACAACTGCAACGTCCGAACAATAGGACTTGCAAGATCAACTTG